AAGGGGGGGGGAGGGAGGAAGGGGGGGGGGGGGGGGGGGGGGGGGGGGGGCGGATTAAAGGGGTCTGGTACCGAATTCGGCGCGGACCAACAAGTTTACTCTCGAATCTCTTGGTAACTTGGTAAATCGTTGTTTCTTTCAACGGTGCGAGATCCAGTGAAAACCAGCGAATAGAAATAAAGCTCGAAGAGCTTTAATTTGGAACGGGGACGACTTTATGGTACGCGGCCAGCCTCGGTGGCCAGCCTCGGAAGGCATTGTCAAGGTAATTACGGTAATACGGACCGGATGCTCGAAATTCATTAAAAATCGAAGAGATCTTCGAGTATAGGTTTCCGATGCAACCGTACGCCTGCTAATCCGCGCCTAGTATCGGATTCTAGAGTCACGAGTTAGCACTCCATACGACTTGGCACGATTTTAGCGTTAGTCCGTGTTATCGCCCCGATCGGAGACGGTTCGTCGAGATCGCAGCAGTCTGCTCGCACGAGCAGGAGCCGGGGTCGGAGCCGGGGTCGGAGTCGCAGCAGGAGCCGGAGCACACGCACACGGTACGTACATTTCTCGTTGCGTTCGATCTCGGCGTGTGGATTGTTCCGAACAGAAAATAGACCCAACACACTCTACGTATATATCGATAAAAGGGACAACGGTGTAAATAATCGAGAGCATCGAGCAGTCGCGACGAAAGAATGGGCGGATAATGCAGTTGTCATTGTTCCGTCCGTTCGGTCGTTAGCTCGGCCGCGTGTTTTCCCTAAAAAGGAGTCTCGCGAATCCCTGTTCCAGCACTCACCTTCGCGCGACTGCTAACCGGAGGCTGAAGCGAAGCGCGGACGGACACTACGGATCCGCAGAACCGCGTGGAAGCGAGACCGAACGGCACGGCGTGCTTCCGGGACGTTAGAGGCGTCGAGACGCCCAGCATGAACGCGTAGACGAGGAGCATGGCGATCGCTAGCCACAAGCACCACAACCCCCAACCCAGATAGCGAGTGTAAGCCAGTTTACCGGTCGACGAGTTGCCGGCTGTATCAGCAAAAAATAATGTTTTCTCCGTAATCGCAAGGTAAGTGGGACGTCGAGTTACAGCGTCTAGAATATAAAGTCCGGGCGCCGATAGCACGACCAGATCACGGATCCGACACGCTCGTAGACGTTTCGAGCAGCCTCTGTGCTATGTACTTGTAACGTTTTTCTTTTCAGCGTTCGCGTAATATCGTAGATACGAAACGAAGATGGCGCCTAGGAGAAAATCGTTCGCGTGGCAAATAGATTTCTAGCCGGCTTTGGCATCGATACGTTTATTCGTGTTCGCACGAGTATCCGCTCTGCCTAGCGAGGATAATTATCTCGACGCGAGCCGAGTTTCTCGAAGCGTTTACTCCTCCCGAAAGTCACCTTCGCTAAACCGAACGGTCGAATAAGCAGGCAATGAGACACGTGCGACGACGAGTCTACTCGCAACACGGATAGCCTGTCGTCTCCTGTCGCAGTCTGTGGTGAGAAGCTACTACAATGGGAAAAAAGCGGGGCAACGAACGGCTGAAATACGGCTGAAATACGGCTGAAATACGGATGAAAAGCGGGAACGAAAGACGACGGCGACGATCACTGGAGTAAAAACGGAAACGACGACGATATACGCGGTTCTACACGTTCCAGCACAAGTTCCGCAAGATGAACGGCGTATGCACACTCGGTGTGGTAACGCGTGCGAGCAAACATGCGCGTTTGTTGCCGTTACACGGGGTACCGTTGCGTTACGAGAGGTTCGCGCTAGCCGCGTCTCTCGCTCTCCCGGTGAGAGAGCTCCGATCTATTAATAAAAAGCAGCCGGCAGACCGACCGCCGTGCGAGACGAGCCGAGGAAAACACGTCCGAGGGACGAAAACGCGTGCACGAGGCTGCTCGATAAACTACGTTTCGTAAGTGTCGTAACGGATTTTCCATCGCGAGCGAGTCGGCGTACAACCAAAACGGGCACCTTTCGACGCGTATCGTTTTCCCGCGGCTTCTCGTCGCATGCTAAACATTCCGGGAATTCGAAAACTTGTCGCGCGAGAATATTTCGCTCGTTTCACCGGTTCCAAATACTTTTGTAAGATCTAGTTTCGCGAGCGCGCGCCAAGGACGCAACTGTCTCATGCCCATCGACGCCGCATGCTTTTTCGGCTGTACGCGACAGCTACGCGTTTCGAATCTTTCGTTCCGGGTGCTATCGAGGCCTTGGTCGGACGCGCGGTGTTCCGTTTCCAAACTAACGGGTTGTCGCTTTGTCTCGCGATGCCCGATCCGGTAAATAGCACGCGAGGGTGGAAGTAGAACACCACTGGTGGAACGTCGTCCCTGCCCTAGAATAAACGATAACGTTGTCGAGCGAATCGGAGGTGTTGCCAAAATCATGGATGACGCGGACGCGATCGTTCGGATTCGATAGCCCTGCTCCCTTCGGCGCGCTCGCGTTATCCTAACCGCGGGGCTAATAGCTACTTTCGATGAATTAACACCGACCGATTGGGACACTCACAAACTGATCGGCTACGCCGCGATAGAGACTTTGATGCGTCGTGGACGGGGCCGTAGGAGACGAAGTCGGATTACTGGCAGTGTTCGTGTTTCCTGAGAAATGACCGTCCGGTCTCCTGGAGGTGGAAGGCACGGCTGGATCGTCTCCGTAGTTACCGGAAGGCCGTCCAGCCACGCCGTTCTGCAAGACAGGCGGCGGAGCAGCACCGCCCGCGAACCTCGTGCGATCGATATCGTAGGACGCGCTTGCGGGGGACGGGCGATTCCGAGACTGTTCGGTGTCTTCCAAGATCTCGGGATCCTCGGTGCGTCCTCCTTGCAAGAACGCGGCCGCGTCCTCTATGCCACGCATTACCTCGTTATTGTCGTCGACGATCTCGAACCGGTCTTTGGTACACTGCTGTTGGCGTTGATGGTGTTGTTGTTGTTGTTGCTGCTGCTGCTGGTGTTGGCGCAGTCGGGCGTCGGCGTGCTTTTCTTCGTCGTTGTTGTTAATCAGCGGTTCCGTGTTATTCGGATTAGTGGCAAGGTTAGTGAGCAAATCGAGCTTAACACCTATCAAACCGGCACCGCCAACACCACCGGGTACAGATGACGACAGGAGGTTAATCTTAGACGAGACCTCGTCGGCCGTTCGATGAGCACCGGCGAGTTGTTGGCGGTGATGACGGTTGTTCAGATTGCTGTCGTCGTCTTCGTCGTTATCGTCGGTGTCGTTGTTGTTCACGCCGTATTCGCTGCACGCATCCTTGCCGTTGCTGCTGGTGCGGCAGTTACTGCTGTTGTTGTTGTTGTGCCGATCGTCGTCCGCGTCCTCGTCTTCGTTAGCGTCGTCGTCCTCGTCGTCGTCATCGTCGTCGTCGTCGTCGTCGTCGTCGTCGTCGTCGTCGTCGTCATTGTCCTTGTCGTCGTTACTCTCGTCCTGGTTCGAGTCGCGGATGGTACCGCGCTCGTCGATCGTTACCTCGCCAGGACACGCGGCGGTACTTTCCGCGCGAACATGCCCGCTGGTCAACACCGTGCTGCTGGCCAGTGAACCTCCTCTCTTCGACCTTGACCAAAGCACCGCGCTGCTACCGCCGGTACCGGCAGCCGTCGAAGACGACGACGACGAGGAGGTGGAAAGAGAGGATTCGGTCCGTAGATCTCTGTTTCGTTCGACTATTTCTCTCTCGTCACCGCCGAACAGCTCGGTCAACGAGGAACCGGTTGCGTGGTGTTTCCAATGGTGATGACCGCCGCCGCCGCCGCCGCCACCGCTGCCGCCACCGGAGGACGCTCCACCGGTGACACTCGCCTGTCGGATGTTCGGCACGTAGCCGGACGGTGAGTACCTGCTGATGATCTCGGCTGTGGTGGACCACGTCGGCTCCAACTGCCTGGAAGACGAGGAATCCAGTCCCGATCCCCTCTCCCTCGACGACGAACCGGCAACGGAGATGCTCGAGGACGACGAGGACGTTGACAATCCGTATCTACCACCGCCGGTCCCGTTTGCAATTATATTTGTACCCGTGCCACCGCTACCGCTACCGCTGCTACCAGTGTTGCTGTACGCCGACGACGAAACTGACCTGCAAACGTTTGTCCAATGTGAATATCGCGAGCATCGTTTCGTTCGGTCGGGCCCGCGGCCAAGGGCTACTCTCCGCGCGCCACCCTCTCCTCGTACTTCACCCTCGTTTCTCTAATTTTTTCGAGTTATGCAACGATTGCGATCGTACACGCAACCCGCTCGGCATATAAACACACGCACGCGTACAAACTCGTGCTACCCGAATCCGAATCCGAATGTGAATCAGAATCTGAATCCGAATCTGAATCTGAATTTGAACGAGTAAGCAGCGCCATCTTGGCTATATGTTAAGATTGGCAAAGATCGTTGGGCCATACGCGAAATTCGTGCTCTCCGAATACAATCGAACGCTGTACATCGACCGATCAACTACTCTAACGAAGAACCTTGGAGGTTTTACGATTTCGAATCCATTGGAACACGACTACGTGAGTAAAAAATCGAGAAAATCGAAAAAATTGAAAAAATCGAAAAAATCGAAAAAGACGAATAGTTTTGTAGAGAAATCTGTTTGACCGACGAATAGCCGGACAGCTGTGCGGAAACATCGCGAGGAACTTGTCGTTCGATCGAATCGATGGCGCTGGCGTCGAACGCGTTGGCGCGAAACGGACGCGCAACATTGTTCGCGCGTATAGTGCGCGCGATACTTGACCCGTTCGTCACCATTTTCTCCTCTTTGAGATCGATCCACCATTTTGGAATCGTATAAATAGAGACAACGAACGCGTCGAGCAACGCTGCCGACTACCGAAAACTATAACAATGTAGAGGCATCGCGACTAGACGCTTTAAGGGAAAAAATGTGAACTCGATGCGTCTGGTTCAGGCTGTGTGCCGGGTCGCTACACCCGATACGCGTAGCAGTCGTTGACATCGACCTTCTAGACTTTGGTCAGGTCGTAGGGTAGTTGGACTATATAGAGATCGGAAATTAAAGCAACTGGACGGATCCAGTCGCGAACCCACGCTTTACCTTGCCTCTACGTTTGCTCTACTCTTCTTCGTCGTTCGATGTTTCGAGCGCGATACTCGAATTAGCCAAATATGTCGGGGATACCGGTTGTTACGTGTACTCATGTGTGTTATGCATATATGTATAATATCGTTATTCACCGAGCACGGTGAAAACTGGATGGGAATCGAGAAGAAAGAAAGTGAAAAGCGACACACTGTTGTCGAGACTTATCGGGACGTAGCGCGTCGCGTGTCGCGGACACCGATGATTCTCTCGTAGCCGCCGCGCCGCGCCGAGCCGATCCGAGCCAGCCACACACACACACGGCATCTCGGCACACTCCCGTGTATCAAGGATCGCTCTCTCACCTTGCGGGTGAGTAACGAGAACGGCTGTAGTCCGATAAGTAGTTCCTGCGGATGCTCGAACCAGTCGACGTTAACGAGTAGTAACTGTAGGGCCGATCGAGTATGAGCTATTTAATATTGCATATTCGCAGATGAACGAAATCCGGGATCGGCAGCGCCTACGAAAACGATCGAGCCTGCGAAACGTGATCACGGAATTTCGGATCGACGTAGCAGAGTGGCTCTGCCGACCCCGAGAATTCCCGAATAGTTTGAATCTCGGTGCAGAGATGCACGGGACTCACCTGCTCGATGGGCAGTAGGATCGTCTGTACTCGGACGTGTAGCTCGAACGGTAGCCCGAGCTCGTGGAGGAGGTGTAAAACGAGCCGGTGGGTCGGTAGGTGTTCAGTTTGGCGGAGGAGCCGCCGATCGTGGAGCTACCGGTGTTGCTGCTGCTACCGCTGGAACATCGCCTGCTAGGAGAATGCGGTGTCATTGGGCTGCTGCTGTACGAGACTGCTACGGCGCCCGCCTGTCCCCCACGGTGATATGACATTGCACCCTGGGTTCACCAGTCTCTCAATCTCTCTCTCTCTCTCTCTCTCTCTCTCTTTCTCTCTCTTTCTATCTCCCTTTCTGTCCCTGTCTCTGTCTTCCCTTAGAGACTTGCCTGAATCCCAACAATTTCGGAGAGAGAACGGTGAGTACATGTCGTGTATCGGTATAGCTAAACTATAGGCTATAGGTTGTACGCTGTACGTTATAGGCTATAAGCTATAAGCTGTAGGCTGTAGGCTGTAGGCTCTAGGCTGTAGGCTCTAGGCTCTAGGCTATAGGCTCTAGGCTATAGGCTATAGGCTATAGGCTATAGCGTGCAGCGTCGATGGCCTATCTCGACTCAACCACAGTCCGGCCGCGCAACGTAACCCGCGTAGCTTCGCGATTGTTACCTGTCGAACGATTCTCAAAATGCAAACATTTTCATTCCGATCCATCAGCCGATCCATGATTTCATCTCGCTGTTTTACGGTTAAGAATATTCGATACCGAACGAATGGAATTATATCGAATCAAGGTTGTCTCTCGACTTTCTAGGTCAGCCAGCCCCTCGTAGATACTCGAGACGCTGAACGTACGATCCCGCAAGATCCAGCGAACTTCCGCGAGAACACGTCCTCGATCGTTTCCGATCGATAACCCTCTGTGTAACGTTCGCTTTCGGCATGTTCCGGAGAAGAAGAGGAGAAAGGAAACGCGACACGCAGCCATCATCGGCTGGAACCTTCGCTCGAAAGTCGCGTTGCAGCTTTAGTTTCCGAGGTCGACCTTGTACGACTAGGCCGCCGCCACTTCACCTTGTCCCCTTTTCCCGCTACAAACCTAGCCGTGATGCGATTCCTAGCTCCGATCGCGTTTGCTCGTATCGTTGCGTTCACGGGGAAGACCGGATATCGAGACTGACAACGAGAGCCAAAACGCGGTAATTTAATTCGAGCGAATTAAAGTTCGTAGCATTCTGGCGAGATTGTTTCAAGAACGGTGGAACGACCCGAGCGTCGTTAATCGGAAAACAACAGGAAACGAAATTGTCGGATGCGACCCGACTCGACCCCCGACCCGACCCAACACGCTACGCTCTACCCTTATTGCGACCACCGTGTCCAATTCTCGCACAAACGTGAACACAAAACGCAGAAATGCCAAAGGTCACTGGGTCGAGCTAAAAAAAGAAACGGGCCAACCTTGAGCCAGGAAAAATGTAGAACGTTCGGGAGCTACGCAGCAGTCGGATAGATACGCTTTATAGTACCGGCGCCATAATTTTAAATCACTTTTCTCACGATTTCCCCCTTTCCACCGAGATCCTGAAAACGATCAACGTTTTCCAAGGCGAGCGCGTTTAACGGCGAACCGATAAGGTTTGCAAGCTTTCGAATCGTTTTGAAAAATCGGTAAAGGCGGCGTGGCGCGATACGCGAAGCGTCGAGCGGTACGTTTCGCAGGAAAATCATTCGACTTGTGTGCCAAATAAATGGCGTCAAGAAAGCAGCTACGATTCGCATTTTTCCTCGGGCTTGGCACACGGCCCAGTTTTCACCGGAATCGGACGCGCAGAACGAACGCACGGAATATTTCGATTTCACGGAAAATTGTTCGACGACGTTCGAGAACGAATCGATTACCGATCGAGCATCGCGATCGCAAATGGTTCCCGTTTCCGCCGCGACCGTTGCCGTCGCGATCGGTCCGATTTCAAAATGCCCGAAATCGCGTGGAGAATAATGCCACCGAACAACGACGTCGCTTAATAGCGAATTAATTAGCCCGTCTTTCGCTCGACTTTGTAAACGCTTCTCTGTACTTTCTGCGGAACGACACGAACGAAAGAAGAGAAAAAGAAAAAGAAAAAGAAACGAGAACCGTCGACTAGGTCGTGTTACTTCGAGTTTTCAACCTAATTAGGCATGGTAAGACGCGGCGCGCAGGTTACGTCTCTCGCGTTTCGTATTGTGGGCAAAGTCGATAACGCGATTATGTAATAACGTAAGGAGCACAATTGAAGTTATGTAACCAATCCTGCAACGCGAATCGACGATAAACTGCGGTCAACCGTTCCATTTAATCCTTTCGAATCGGCAACGAAAATTTCAGTTCTACAAAACACTTCCCGTGTTTCAATGTCCTCCGCCATTTACGGAAAGAGAAATGGGTAAAAATATGCCTCGAACGCGAACCGACACAATCGATGCACTAAATTGCGCCAACAACAACACGGTCCTAGCATTCTTTTTTAAATCGAGACCAATCTAATTTTCCAAATACTCGGAAACTACGACAACGATACGCTCGGATCGGTTCATCGCCCATTGCTCTCTCTCTCTCTCTCTCTCTCTCTCTCTCTCTCTCTCTCTCTCTCTCTCTCTCTTTCTCTCTCTCTCTCTCTCTCTGTTCACTGTTCGCGACCGTTGCATCGCGAGGGTGAGCGTACAGCGTGTATCTACGTGGATTACCGCGAGTTGGAGTACCGGTTGTTACGTGTTTGCATAACGAAAGGAAGAAATCACAGTTCGCGATTTCTTTGCGTCTTCGACCTTCTAGGAAATTGAAATGCAATTATAATTTAATAATCACGTAATAATGAAGTAATCGCGTACTTCGACAAACAACGGACAACGAAAGAATTTTCATTGGAAACGAGGTTTAAATATTCGAAAGACTACAGAGAACGCGAGCACCGAGAACAAGCAATAGTTGCGATGCAACGCTGAATGGGTGCACGTGGACGAGAAATACTATGGGTACCGTTCTCGCGTGCAACTGTACTTGTAACGCGATTAATAAAATCGATTCGAGTTCGGTCTGCATAGCGGAACGAGTCACTTTCGACCAACGAAACGTGTGAGTAGGTGAGTACTGTATCGTATTACATAATATAAAGACATGCTCGATGATGTCTAATTTTAAGGCGACACCATTTAACTGGAAGGAAACAACCGGTGGATTTCCAACGTACGAAGATTGTAATTTGATCCAGCTCGCGAGAAATAAACGTTGAAATTTTGAATTCGCAGCACGACAACTATTAAAATATTCGAAATACGAAAACGCTAGAAGCAAATAACGATGGAGAGACTGTGTTGCAGTTTGAACACCGTTTGTTCGTTTCTACCCGTACTTAAATGTCACTTTACTTAACCCTCGAACGGCAGACTTTTCCGATCAAATATAAATGAGTATACTTACGATCGATTAGCTTTTTATTTATCAATTTTTTTCGACATATTTTCTATGGTATTCCTTTCAGATACGTTAGCTTTTCTACAGGTTTTGCCGAAACATGTAGAAAATTGAAATTATTTGTCAGAAACTTGACATTCGGTTATCAATTTTTTCTGTCTGGATTTGAATGGACCCTGAGTCCGCTGTTCGAATGTTAACGGATATTTTTTCATAGGTAGATGCGCGATACGAAGGTCGAGTACGGTAAGTATGTGTACATCGATCAAATTATTCGACTAGATATTTGATCGGTTAATTGTATCGGTCACACGATCGAACAATCTTTTCCCTCGCTATTCCGTAGAACACGGGGGCATTGTAGCTATTCCTGTAGGTAATAAGAATTCCAGAAACCATTAAATTAGAAAGCGAAAATGACAGAATTGTTTAAACGTTGCAAAGACTTCACCCCGATTCTACCATCGTCTCACAGAACACGATTCATATTATATTATTATGTTTGAACATTCGTCAAAGTATCGATGGTATGCGCCAACAACTGGACAGAGATTTAATATCTTTTATGTTGTCGCCGGCTCGGGATGTTCGATACATGTTCTAATTCCACGTAAATTAATTTTATACGTAAATACGTTTTTAAGCACTTTGAATATTTTTATCGAGCTGTTCCAATTCGTAACCTAACCCCGTGTTCACGAGGCCAGGGAGAAAAAGACGGATGTGGTTAGCAGGGAAGAAAGAGAGAAACGATTAAAAGAAAAAAAAAGAAAGAAAATGAGACAGAGATGAGAACGAGAAGAGGGACACACGCGCGCGCGCACACACGCAGCAGAAGCAAACAGTGTGTGTGTGTGTGTGTGTGCGTGCGCGCGCGTGTGTGTGTGAGTAAGTGAGTGAGTGAGTGAGAGAGAGAGAGAGAGAGAGAGAGAGAGAGAGAGAGAGGGAGGAGGGAGGAAGAGAGAGAGAAATGGAGAAAGACGATAGATGAAGAAAGATGTGGCTATTTGGACGGCCTTTGGTATTTCTCGCGTTTCAAAAGTTATTTCTCGCACGAATCGTGGGAAATCGTGATTCAGCATGCTCGTGTACATCGAAAATCGAAAGTCGTTGATAGGAAATTTAGAATATAACAGGATACTCACGGCTTCTGAGAGAGCAAGCGACTCGGTTTTACTTAAAAGATTGTCGTGTCAGGAGCCAGGAGTTTACCAACACGCAATGACGATTCTCACAAATTCGCTCTGGCGACGAGCGACTTTCCATCACAGTCGTGTATCGTAAACGCGAGAAATTTACGGTGGCTCGTTGCACAGACGAAAAAAGAGAGGACAGGCATAGGCCATCCCTCGGTGCTTGTAGCTATCGCTGTGACGTCACAGCGACCAATACTCGAGAGACTTTCGATGCAGTCGAGCTGATGTGAGAGCGAGGAGATAGCCGATAGTCGCGCGACGAGAACCTCGAGAGGTACGATCGATTTACGGGCACGTTTATGTCGATCACGCTAAAGCCTCGAACAAACAGGAACCATGATTTTGTGTATCAGCCGACGCCGTACCACTGACACACGGTTCCCTTAAATACACAGTAAATTACCTTTCCTCTTGACACTTGTGCACGCTTTCTCTCTCTCTCTCTTTCTCTCTCTCTCTCTCTCTCTCTCCCCCTCTTCCCTCTTCTCTCTAGCTGCTCCTTCTTCTTTTGTGGTACAACACCGCGTGAACACTTACTACACACTATTCAGGATTAATAGCACTCCGATGATTTCGCTAACGCAACGTGCGAGCAAACAATATGGCGATTACAAGGTTACCGATTGCCGCGTTGACAGTCATCGCTTCCGCGACTACCGCATTCTGCGCTAGCGCAGATCAAAATGCTGTCTTAGTTCCTCCTGGTGAGACCGCGACCAGTCCGTGCTGCCATCTTCGCATACGTCGCGCGCGCTTTTTCAATTAACAATAACAGCCGCCTCGACCTGTATATCAACGATTTTTTTGATAAGTGATAAAAAATGCGAATATTCGAAAATGAACTGTGATTGGTTGTGTGTATCAGAAAATTCACAAAATTTTACTGTTTTTAATTAGTACATATTTATGCTTATTTACACAGATGAAATATACTACAGATGAAATATATTTTGACAAATATATATATATACATATATAAAGTACGGAGCAAAATGTTGAACATGTTCAACAACTGGCTGCTGAATATATAGAAAAGAAGCAGCAGTGTAACAAATACAGGGAATCATTCTGATTAATGTAAATATAAAATAAACAAAATTGCATCGGCCGGGAATCGAACCCGGGCCGCCCGCGTGGCAGGCGAGCATTCTACCACTGAACCACCGATGCTTCCTGTAATATAATCAATGGAACAGATACATCTGTGCATCTATAATTATGTAATATAAACGCAAAATTATATAAATCAATAGAATATATTGATAATGTAATATAAACACAAAATTATATTACATAATTATAGATGCACAAATGTACATGTTTCGTTCGGTGGTGCAGTGATAGAATGCTCGTCTGCCACGCGGGCGGCCCGGATTCGTTTCCCGGCCGATGCAATTGTTTATTATATATTTACATTAATCAGAATGATTCCATGTCTTTTTTACACTCACTGCTTCTCTACGTAACTAGCAGCCAATCGTTGTACGTGTTCAACATTTTGCTGCGTACCATATTGTTCTTCGAAGCTTATAAATTTTTTGAACAGAGTCTTCATCTTCCTTGGTGGTAATGTCTGAACGACTGCTCGTTCCAATACTTTCCTGTGTATATAAAAACAGTCTTTTAAAACAATTCCCTTATATTATGAATGAATGAAATTGAAGATATTGTTTACCTTGCAACATCAATATCGTTACTTTTTAGTAACGAGTCCACGTAACAGGACCAAACGTCCACGCGTTTGGGATGAGAACATATAATTTTTTCGAATAATGTCTGGGACCTCTGTTTGTCCCCAAATTTGCCCTCTAAGAGGGCAAATTTAATTATCAAATTTACATCTGTATGGAAGGAAATACACATTAGAAATTGCATTGTTATTATCATTAATTTTATCCTGTTGTACACCTTGTAAACATTTACTCACGTTCCGATGGTGGCAAAGACTGCATGGCTCTTTGCATGATGTTCCTCGATTTCTCCATCAAACCCATTTTTAACAATACCGTGCCACAGTCGATCCATACTTGAGGATTCTGCTTGAACTTACCAAGCATAATATTGATTATTTTTTCTAATTGTGCTTGTCTATCAGCTTCAAAGTGTACTGTTAACATGTGTGTATACACTTTCATCGCATCGTTAACTCTTATTGCTTCTTGGAAAGCATCGTTCAATGACTCGGAAGTTCCAAATTTTGATTCCAGATTCAACCAAGCATTCCACACGTTTAATCTTTCATTCTCCTCCCTGAAATTGATCGTTTTCACAGCTCTCCTGGCAACTGCTCTTGCTTTCTCAATCTCTGTTGTCTGTAAATGATACGCCATGTATTGTAACCAAATTATGGAACTGTTTGGGCTTGCTAGAACCAATTTATCAAATTCATCGACAGAGTTTGGTAATTGATTATTAGCATTCGCTTCTTCTCTCTGACGAATTTCACGTTCCTTCTGTCTCTCTTGTTCTCTGCGTTCAGAAGCATTTAACTTTTTTTTCTTATGCTTTGGTTGTTGTTCTGCTTCATTCTCGCTGTCGCTGGACAATTCTTTATTCTCAAGAAAGCTTAGATCCGGTTTTTCATCCCAAAAAAAACCACACTCTGGTATCGTTAACTTTTCGTTGTTGTTGCCAGGTACTGTACTATCACATATGTCACTCTCTTTTTTATATTTTATCAATTTCTTTTCATTTTCCTTTTCAATTTGCTTATTACTTGTAGTTTTCTCATTCAAATCTTTCAATGAATGTTCTTCAATGTTTGACCGAGTTTTTTCAGTCTTCATCTTTTTAGCAGATATGTTTTTATTTTCTGTTTGCTCTGCTTTTCTCTTGAAGGTAGCCTTGCTAAGTTTTTTATCTGTAATGTATTTTGATTCGAATGCAGATTTTATCATACAAATTGGTAGAATATCCACTTCACCGGAATGTAGTATCACGTAACACCTGATCTTTGCATGAACAACATAGGGTGATAGGTCTGGTTTTATATCATTTATGTGACGCCGAATAGGCATTGCTGCCAGTGTGCCTTTACCAAGACCTTTCAAGAGGACTAAGAGGAACCAATCGGTTACCATTAATATTTTACCACGAATCACTTTTCCTTCAGGAATCTGCAAGCGTGTATTTTGCTTACCAGTTATACTTTTCATTACAGAAGGTAACATTGTCATTTCAACAACTTCGTGTATATAATCCTTCCACATAATTGTTCCAGAAATTGTATCTCCTATCTTTGGATTTTGAAAACAATGATCTTTTCGTATTATTCCCAATAAGTTGTTTTCTAATTTAATTACAACACCACTGTCCGTACTTTGTTCAACTTTTCCTGTTACTTTCTGTCCTAAAGCGACCGATGAGATTGACTTATTTTGATAATAAGAATTCTTTGCTAATTCTGCCAATTTATTGAAATGTAAACTTAATGTATCCACTGTTATCATCATTCTACTCATAGGATCAGTTAATACGTCGTATACTTTCTTCAGTGTTAACGACAAAATTAGTTGTTTATTCTTTTGGTTGATAGAAATAATTTTTGCGAATAAAACTTGATGCTTGTATAAGACATTAAAATGACTGACGTTACTGTAAGAGACATATGAGAATGGCGATGAACATCCTGCGACAGGTAATAGAACTCTTACACCATCCGGTTCTATGTCTTTCACCGAACAAGGTATACTATCACCAATTTTTAGTTGATCAAACATTCTATAATTTTGTTCGGGCAAAAATGTTCTGGACAAAATTAAGCTCGGTGTTGTAGCAAACACTTGGGCAGAAAGCGTATCTCCAGGAATAGATTTTAATGCTAGCATAGCTGCAACATCTATGCAGGGTGACATGTGTCCTGCAGGTAAAAATCCTGTGCTAACAGTTTGTCCATTCTGTTTACTTATTCTCAAATATACACCTTCCTTAGATGATTCTGTAATTGTTCCTTCTACATGTTCTCCAATTACAAATACAGTTTCTTCGATCGCTTTATCATCAGTTGCTACGCTTAAAACTATCTTCCTTGAATTTTTATTTACGGATTCGATCGTAACCATAATTGTTTGTCCAATGGAATAATTCCAATTTTCGGAGGACGCTCCTTTATCCAATACCGAATGTGGAACCCAACCTTTGACATTACCAAAAAATTTAACTAATAAACCATTCTTCTTTATTTGTACTATAGTGCCATGGTGTTTAGATCCTGGATTTGATGCTTGAATATCACATAAAACAGGTAGATTGCTAGATAAGAGTGATTTTTTCAAAGTAAAGTATACTTTGTTCCGTGTATTATCGATGGCTAATACCATAGCATCTACTTCCTGATTGACTTTAAAATTTTTCAATTCGCTTATTCCTGCATCCGATATATGCTCCGAAGTGATGTATCCATATATTCTACCAACTTGAACGTTAATGAAACCAGTTTCTGCATTAATACTTGTAATCTTCACTTTCACCAGGTCGCCTGGTGTAAAGTCGAAAAGTGAAAAATATCTTTCTTGCAACAACGAATGTTGCATTGTACAAATATAAGTGCCATCCAACCAACAATATGATAACACTCTACATTTATGTTTACTAGCAGGAACAAATGTTTCAATAATTTTATCAAAGTTGACATTTGACCTTTTCAAAGGTAGAAATCCTCTGTCTCCGCTCTTTGTCAATTGTAACACAATTCCACCAGACTCTCTGAATAAGACTGTAGCTTCCTCTATAATATCTCCTGGCTTTATAGAATTATCTTTAGGTTTATTTACTAATGTACTAAAGTATCCGAATTTCACAGTTGGTAAAATGTAAAGTAATTTTCCAATAATTTCCATGCCCTTTGAATATTTGGATAGAGGTTCAGTTAAATAGAGTTGATTTATATAGCCTATATAATTATTACCGAACGAAACGTACAATCCATTAGAAAGAATTCTTTTTACACGCAATTTACAGTTAGTTCCTGGACTCAAGCTATCCAAGGATTGGATTTCAATGTTGTTTATTGCTTGAACTAGTTCCAATTTCGAAGATAACTTGATAGTCGATGTGTTCTCTCTTGTCTTAATTTCTTTTATATGACACAGAAGCTGTCTACCCGGAAACAGATATTGTTTGTTAATATGCTCTTTAGCGGGTATGAATCCTCTTGCATTCGTTAAGCCTGTGTCTACAACATAACCATGGTCTTCTATGCTGCTAACAGTACATATTATGTTTGAACCATTGTTCAGATTTTCGGCGTTTAAATTTTGATTTATCAAGTTAGGTTCAAGGGATAAGGTGATTTGCCATTTTTCTTGACGTTGTATGCCTTTTATATAACATACAATTTGTTCTCCAGGAGAGTATAGTTCAGATAAAGGCTTAAATTCATTTGATAAATCATCCTTGGATTTAAATAAATTTTTCAATAGATTCGTATATGACTCGCTAATATCTGCAACTTGAGCATAACCGAGTAAACCACCAGGCAGAGATACGACCATACCATACTCTGTTACTTCACAGATACACCCCAGTACTACTAATCCTTCGCATATCGTTGCATATGATAAACGTTCTGCGGTATTAGCCACAAAATTGAATTTGTCTGTCCACTCACATTTCTTTTTACTGTCTTTCCCATGATTCTTTTGTATCTATCGAGAAAAAAATCAAGGTATAATCTAAATAATTAATATGCTTAATAAATAGTTTAACTTGTGTAAATAAATAATCCAACATTCTAACTTACTAAATCCGTTATTGGCTTCTTTTGAAGTTTCTTTCCTCCTCTTGGAAAGCTCTTTAACGTCATCTAAAAACATATTTCATATTTTGTATTATGTAGAAACACTAATTACAATTGTTTTAATTTTATAAAAATATTTACCTTCGCAGTTTTTAAAAAGACCACAAATTTGTTTTGAAACGTGTTCCGTTTGCACGCGTTCTCCGCGTCACATTTACTATTTACAGGTTATGTTAGCATTCGACAGCGCCACATATGGCGACTTTAGTAAGTGCAATGTACTTAACACTCGTTCAAGTGATAATACAGATTGTGTATTTAATATGTATCATTTATTTTAATTGTGAATTAAATTTATCTGCAAGCGTGTGTGTATTTTGCTTAGCAGTAAACAGTAAATTACCTTTCCTCTTGACACTTGTGCACGCTTTCTCTCTCTCTCTCTCTCTCTCTCTCTCTCTCTCTCTCTCCCTCCCTCTTCCCTTTTCTCTCTAGCTGCTCCTTCTTCTTTTGTGGTACAACACCGCGTGAACATTTACTATACAGTATTCAGGATTAATAGCACTCCGATGATTTCGCTGACGCAACGTGCGAGCAAACAATATGACGATTACAAGGTTACCGATTTCCGCGTCGACAGTCACCGCTTCCACGACTACCGCATTTTGCACTAGCGCAGATCAAAATACTGTCTTAGTTCCTCCTGGTGAGACCGCGACCAGTCCGTGCTGCCATCTTCGCATACGTCGCGCGCGCTTTTTCAATTAACAATACAGCCGCCTTGACCGGTATATCAACGATTTCAAGTATTGGTAAGTGATAAAAAATGCGAATATTCCAAAATGAACTGTGTGATTGGTTGTGTGTATCAGAACATTCATAAAATTTAGTGTTTTTAATTAGTACATATTTATGCTTATTTTAAGAGCACAATGAATAAATGTTCAACATGAAATGCTGCAGATGACAAATATTATTATATTTTGACAAATATATATATATATATATAAATATTTACCTTCGCATGTTTTAAAAAGACTACAAATTTGTTTTAAAACGTGTTCCGTTTGCACGCGTTCTCCGCGTCACATTTACTATCCACAAGTTATGTTAGCATTCGACAGCGCCACATGTGACGACTTTAGTAAGTGCAATGTACTTAACACTCGTTCAAGTGATAATACAGATTGTGTATTCAATATGTATTATTTATTTTAATTGTGAATTAAATTTAGCTCATCATATGTATACTAACGATATTTATTTTCACTGTTTATATATACAATAGGACGGTATTTACAATTCATTATTTGTCACCTAAAATTGGTTTTCCAATTCTTTGCATAGATCCTCCGAACATTTTATTTTGAGGAATTCCTACTGGTGGTATTAACGCTGCCGCAACATATCTACCCTCATCGCACAAGAAGTTAAATGCACCACATGCATGATGTACAGGAAGTATTTCCACAGTTATCCTTCTATCTTTTAATATATTTTTTATATCTAGGATTCTCTTATATTCATAATTTGTTGTTTCTAAACCTAAAATTAGTATATCTGGTGTTGGATCAACAGTAAGAAATAATGACAATGTCTTTCCATTGATGTCCTTTCCAGATTTAATATTCCAACACAATACAGTTTTTGGGAAAATTGCAATAGGGCCGATGATTGCAGAATTATTATTCAAGACAAATCCTATCTGTAAAATGTATATTACAATTGTAATGAACTTTACAGATCAACGTAGGGAGAATAGGTTCAAATGGAAATTTGTTTACTATATCAACAATTCCATTAGAATCTGGATAACATAAACATGAAAGAAACATTTTCCTATAAATTGTTTTAAATAACCTTCGCAACTACATACCGATGAATAGTTGTTTATTAAAAATCTAGGACCAGTTTCGCAGTTAAGAATTATGCCCATTGTTTTACCAGACCCTTCGTATGAAAAACCTTTCACGTGCGAACAATGCAATTTCCTGTAAACAATGAAATTTACTAATCATTTACTGATTCATATAAGATTCATAGGATTTGACTATTCACCTGAAACTTTGTAGTAATTGATTCACAGCAAATACATTTCTGTTCGAGCCCATTGTATTGATTTATTTGAACAATATGTAACTGCTGTAAAGAAGTAAAATTCATTAATAAAATACAGTGTACACAACAACTGAGGTCCGATGTTTTTCGATACGTATGTAAATATATTAACCAATTTGCAATCTATACAATGCTGACACAAAACACGATACACGATATTTGAAGTGCGCATGCATACACACGTACTGGCACGATTAGGAAACTGCGCATGCGTATTTATATTTCGATTAAAACATCTGTCGAAATTGTTCGGCCGCTTGCACGAGTGGTACATAAGTACATATTGTATATTGCACATACACATTGTACATGAGGTATGCATACAGACGGTACCATATTGTGTACTGTACCATCCTTAGACCTTCGACCAAGGCTCGGAATTAACTGCATATGACAAAGACAGAGCATTTTCGGAGACTGCCCTGAAAATGCAGCAGAGTTGCATCATCCAATTGCATTCGTGAAATCTCTCCTACAGCATATTTCAGAGCAGTCTCCGAAAATGCTCTGTCTCTGTCATGTGCAATTAATTCCGAGTCCGGCTTTAGATCATCTAAGGTACCATCGACCTGGTCCACATATACTCTAATGTATTTCGTAGTCTGTGGAAGTTATTGATAATTACTCTATGGTTGTACTTGATTGGCCGATTTAAATAGAATCAGAAATTCACCGGTACGAGTAGGTATGAAAATATAAAGTTCACGGCGGCAAGTTGTATCTAAGAATACATATCCTATTGCGAACTGCATGCTGTATCGCATCATGTATCAGGCTGCATCGGCTGCATCATGGAGTTGTTCGATCAGTTGCAACGACCCCTACTATTTTAGTGTATTTTTAGAAATATCGTATAGAAAATACTTTGTCACGGACGCACAGTTATTGTATTTTGACAAGATATTGACGACAGTTCGTTACGATAATGAGCAAGGGTTGTTGGAAGTTTGACGACCAGGACAGAGGTAAGCAAACGAAATGTTATAGGTTAGAAAACGATAAGTGTCAGAAATAATAAAGGTTTTAGATGAGTTTATTCTGTAGTCACGTTTCATACGTTACCGGCACATATGCCAGTGGAGGATTTCAAATTAAATAATGGAATATGTTCAAACAAGTATCCTATATCGTGTATTTTAATAGAAATTTCTCATAGCGCTGTACATAGACCTCGAAGATGAAGAAACGGAGGAGGATAAAGAAAAGAAAGTATACAGCTACTGGGATCAAACTCCAGATATACTTCTTGAGGAAATTTTCTCCTATCTGACTATTCGCGAACGGTATTATGCATCGTTGGTGTGCAGGTCGTGGTATCGTGCCTTTAAATTGCAAAGTGTTTGGGCCACTTTTACATTGGAAGATACTACGCTTACACGGGGTAAATTTAATTACTATAGCGGCTGGCAATATGTCTTGGATCATATGAGAACCTCTACATGTTTAAATAAAGTTGGACGAAATTTTCGAACACTGGTTTTTGAACCCATGTTAAATTTTTATAATCTTTACGAATTCATGAATATGATATCTTGGTATACCGAAAGACAAGGATCGGATAATACATCAGTGGCAGGAGTTGGTACACATGTTAGACGACTGAAGTTTACATTTCCTTGTAATATGGCAAACAGAGATGATCCTGATCGCATCAGGCTCTTTGGGACTGGTGGAAAATTACTAGAGGCATTAAAAAGACTTATGCGCAATTTGTGTAACATACGGTGTTTGGAATTAATAGATCTTATGTTGGATAGTAAAGAAGCTCTACATTTAATGGATGATATTTGTGCAAATTGTACACAAACATTATCGAAATTAGTACTGATCAATACCACAAGGTATTATTGCCCCCTTCTTCATGTGGGTGTGTTTCTAAATTTGAATGTAAGTTCTATGTACTTATTTTATGCAAAGAACTTTAGTAAAATATATCCGAACTCTTTAATTTGAAATATTTGCTTCATTTGTAAAGGTGTTGATCATTAGTCCTCAAAATCTTCACGAGGATGTAATAGACTTAATTGGCTATACTAAATTGGAACACCTTCATATTGTTCAAAACAGATATAGCCCAAAGGATACTACAATGAGATTGGTAATTGCTGTACCGCATTAGCTTAGAACTAATTTTTTGAAATTTTCTATTTAATTTAAAAAATTTCTTTAATTCAGCCTAAAAGAGCATGTTGGATAAAGATGAAAAAGAATAATCCATATCTTAAAGTTCATTTTGAAGTGGAAAGTTATAAACCCACCGATATACTTCTGCCCATTGATTTATTGGAACATGGAGGTATTCCGTGTCATAGTATTGTTCTGGACAATCCAAATACACAGGTCGGTGTGGGACTGACATGAGACTGTGTTTAATAATATTAGTTTATCATCTAATAGTTAAATAAACATTGCAGATTTCATCCACCACTGTATTAACTCATGGGACATTTTTCGAAACAACGATAAAAGTATATGCATTCAAGGGGCTGACAAGATATTTTCTACATAGGAACTTTGCACAGAGATTGGACGAAGCATTGGTGCAATTTTGCAGAATGTGTCCAAATCTTCACACACTGGTAGCATTTTGTGTTTGAACAAATTTCCGATGTAGTAGTCTATGACAGCTTCCTTACGATGCTAAGATCCTAACATCTAACATCTCCTTACGGTGTGATGGCATGTATTCAAATTCCTGTTGCACAAAAGACTTTATCGGTGTTTGTGTAAGTCCTATCCGACTAAACTATAATCCATTGTTTCAAATGAAATCTTTGTAGAAAACATAAAAATTGCATCTTAAATCTTTTAGAGATCTATTTATGTACATATGTTGGTGTGGCAATATCAATGATCTGTGAATAGTGTACAAGGCAACAAGTTTATATAGAGACCAATTATTGTATCAATGAGACTTGGAAGCCAGTTGGTGGGAGGCAAATATTTCACCATGACACATTTGATAACTTGGCTGAGGATTGAATTATTGATGTCAGACTAACAAAGCCAAATATCCCCGATGTTTTGTACTTACTCCTATTATGGTTAATCTAATTGCGATATAGAAGTAACTAACTGCTGAATTTCGGAAAGATGTTTCCAACTAGTTCAAATAAATGATTCGACTATGTTTTTCACGGAAAAACTATTTTTTCTACAGATGATTCGAGATAAGATCTCAACGGCCACGATTCTGGAAATCGTTTCCACTGCGAAGGCCTTACGTTGCTTCTATGTTCGACGAAATGCAGTGTTGAAAAGATGCGACAGGGATTGGTTAAAAATAACAAATTGGTCCCCAGAGCATTACGAATGGATTAAAACAAATAGTCGCAGTTACGAATTCACAGAGAGAGAGGTGTCGAAAATATTGAACTACAGATGGCACATGCTATCTGAAAAGGAATTTAAAAATCAAACATTAAAGTTACATTTGTAACAGCTACGCGTGATTGCAGATCCTCTCTTTAAGATAAACTTGATCAGCATTCAAAGTCTTTCTTTCTTTCTTTAAATAAACAATTGTGTGCCTTTATACAGTATATGTATATAAATGAAATTGTGTGCATAGTTATTGGATATAATCAGTGCAATAACGTACACTTATTTGACCCAGCTGTGATGTAAATATAAGTATTTAAGAAACGAATTATTTACAAGTTCATGTGGATTGTTATATAATAAAAATACAAGAAATGCAAGTATTTCACTGTATGTTTATTATGTAATAAAATGAAGAATCCTATGCTATACCGTAACTTATGTAATTATGTACAATGCCATTATAGATTTTGTAATGAAACAACACATTCAGACAATTACATTTAATTACTAAATTGAACGTAGCATACGATTCTATTTATACTTTAAATAAAACTGGTGAAGTTAACAAATTCCAGTATCGCAAAAATGTGTTTAATAATATTAATAATTTTATTACTACATATGTATAGAAAACAATAATAAGTTGTTATCATACCAATTATTTGTTGTATATACATATATATTTTAGTTTCGTACATACAGAATGTAAATAGCGTCAGACGATAGCATTGTTTTCAACAAATCGAGAACAGGCTCAAACAAAAAAGTTTCAGTTACATCAGATCAAACAAAATTCAGCTATAATCTTTTTGTCCACGATTATTACTATTTACAATTTTTTCTAGTTGGTTATAGAAAAAATCCAACATTTAATGATTTCTTATTTCCAAACAGTTATAATAAATAAAAAGTATATTGGACTTTCCATTATTCTAAATCAAGTTATCTAATTGTATAAAAGCAGAAAGTTGAAGAATTATGGTGCCAAGGCTGCTGATCGTTTATCTCTGTTCTTATTGCGTAGAATAGTACGAGCCTTAAATGCAGCTGCATTCATTAACGTCTGTAAATCAGTCAATCAGCCAGATATATCGTTAAAGAATCTTCGACAATTAAATATATATATTGTTATGGGAGTGAACTTACCCTTTCCAATTTGGTGGTTTTTTGATTCAATTTGACGGGCAAAACTTTATTACCAAGATGGAAAATTTCGCGTAAAAGTTGATTTTCTGCAAGATGAATATTAATACCTGGACCTAATAATCTACAGCATGCGTTATATTGAGTTCGTGCACACCATCCTTCTAGATATAGAATTTCTTGGCCAAATTTTACATGCATTTCTGATACAGTGTCTTCCTAATAATCAGTAGAACGATAGTGATAAATACTATCAATTACGAATGTACATAATAAAACGAGCGTGATTTTCTTATTATCACTGTATAACTTACTTCTATATAACGAAGTATATCTCGGAAATTTGCTCTTTGTTGTTTACGATCCTTCTTTGCTCTATACTTGTTTGAATCTGTTGCTAATTCTTTCAATACTTCGATTAAATCCAATGACCAATTTTGTTCGTAATCACAGCAGAAGCCCCTACCAAGTTCAAATATCACAGCAAGAGCTTCTCCAGCTGATAACCTTACATCCAAATGTGGTGAATCCAATAATTCACGCAATCTGTTCAAAGATCTGAAATACATACAACTTGTTTTATTGTCGTTCATACGTGGTTCCATTTCTATAAGTATATCTATAGTAAATTAAGTACATACGGCATATAATTGTTGGATCTATCACTCGCGACAAAATTATACACGTCAGCTGGAGACATAATTGTTAAAAGAAGAGTCCATGAAGAGATAGCTGCTGCATGTAGTGCTGCCATTTCTGTTGATATAATTGGTATAGCTCCATTCCCTTTCAAGTAGGATCCAGCAAAAATACCAGACAGTAATTGTACAATTTCGAAAGTGTCTGCAGCATCGTTGCCTGATAAAAACTGATTCATGCCCAAGGCCCAACAGCACTGTAATCATAAAAATCATTGTGGGCACATTCCATGCACGCTTGTTAAACAAATTAAGATTTATATTTTTTACCTCGGAGCGAGCTTGAGTCGATGCAGATGTATCGTTAATTATGAAAGTTAAAGTACTTTTCAAGTCCCTGCACACTGTTTCAGCGCTTTCGAATGCTCCCAATTGTACACAAAGTAAAGTACTCAATCTGGCTGCCGTTGACTGCTCTTCCCCACGACCTTTCTTTAGACCTCGTTCTATGGAATCTGTGATGGTCATCTTTCTGTCTTCGACGAAATCCGGAACATATTTGATGGCAAATATTCTTTCCATTCCATTAAAGCAAACTGTTCTACCCTTTGCACTCCGTTGTGTTAAACCATCTATTGCTTCCTTTAATTTTTCTTCAAATGCTTCTTGCTGTGCAAACTCGTCTACTTCATTATCGTTCACATCGTCTAACATGCTACGGTTATCGGATTGACTGCTTGAAACGCTACATGCATCATTGTTAACCGAATCTTCGTCAGATGTTAAATCAGCTCTTTTTCCATTGTGACCTATAGAAGAAATATTTTCCTTAACATTTTCCATGCTAAATATATTTGTTTTTTGCTTTTACAAATATATTTGATTACTACATATGAGTTCTGCGTAGAAAATCTAGAATCTTTAAAGGTAACCTATAATTACTTATAAAATCATAATTGTTCCAATCATACAACTATAATTATTTACAAAATATAGATATAATCGGCACATTTAGCAAAAGGAAAGGTAACAGCTGTTCAAAGCGAATGTCATGTTACATAATATAAACAGCTTCTACTATTGACAGTGAATATAATTGTACCATATGTGATGTATTGTGTAAATATTAAATAATATTATCAACAATATTAAAATCAAAAGAATAGAAATTCTATTAATTGAGCCAATAATTCTGATCTACGCATTGTAATTTATGAGACAAAAAGAACAAACACGAAATAACAATATTTACGTATTTGCAACGTTAATTATCATGCTCATTAACATTTTATAATACGTTTGTGTTCGTTCCAAGCGATCTGCCGTTATCATTGTAGCGCATAAGTAGTATGAAAGTAACATTTATCTTTGTAAATGTGTAAAAGTATATTATTATTTGAAGTTTTAATATTATGTTATGCAAAATGATCTAAATTTAGATGAAAAGCATGGTTGGTCATGAAAAGTATGATCCAGCCATCTAACCTTTCATTTTTCATGTAACATAAAAAGAGATCTTTATGCAAGAGATCAGCAAGAGACATCAAATTATCGAAAACCATGTGTTTTTCTAATGCAATCGACGAGAAAAATATCAATCGAAGTTGCATCGAGTACATTGAATTTTTTCGTTTGCCTTTCCTGCGTCTAACCCAGAGATCCATGTGAGAAAAGCATGAAAGTCACATGGGGATAGGTGTCGGATACTGACGCGATGTTGATCCGTCTTAATAATATCTAACGATACTTTCCATAAATCAATAGTCGATTTCTCGGCTATGGAATAAACGAAACAGTGTGTCACTACCGATGTTCGTAAAAAAGAAAATGAAAAAGCTACATTTCGAAGAACGTAGCAGTGACGTAAGACGAAAAAGCAAGATTTCTACGCAGGATGAGTCATTCATCGCGAAGCTTGATAAATTAACGAATCATTCTAACCACGTGCTCGACTTTGAATTTCTAATGACTATTTCATTCGAAAATAATAGTCTACGAGATAGGAATTAACGTAAAAATGGTAAAGTAAGCGATTACCGGATTTTCCTCTTCTACCCCCTTTGCCAGGCATCGTTCTTCACCTTCCTTATTGCACAATTGATACTAATGAAAATACTCGATCAAGAGGGTAAATGTCTTGCACTAGTAGCTTTCCTTCGTATACTGAACGCACCACATGAACTTTTAATAAAAACTTGGTAGAAACTCATTAACATGGTGCGAACTATTCAAAACATACACGTCGAGACAGCCTGCGACGGGCTTTCTCAAGTGCACTGTCTTCCACGAAATCGCGACTCGCGAGAGTGCCCGAACTTGGACGAAGATGAAACTTCCCGAAACGCTTATGGCGCATGCGTTGCATTTATCGCATCGCCGTGGATCGACCAATAAGGTTCTTGGTATTTTGGACCGAAAAAACTCAGTTGCAAAATTGCGCGGGAAACCAACTTCTAAGAAACTCGAGGATTGTACATACATACATACACACACACTTGCATACATACTATCTGCATGCGTACATTGTATATACAATCGACATCACTAATCGAAGCTCAATCACGTGATTTTGTCTGCAGCCATTGTTACATTTTGTTTTGCTGTGTTCTGTGCTATGTGCTACTGAGCTGTGGACCCTGAATGACCTAACCTGCCTCTGAACTTCAACATTGAATGGTCAAATTGAACTTCTATGTGTGTCCGCAGTCTCAGCACCAACGAAAAGTTGATATCAAAAGAAATAATTAATGCACCTTTAACCACGATTAACTTTATTTAGAGAGGATAATGTGTAAGTACAAGGAAAAAATTAAACACAATTATCTAAACAATCGACTGCTATTTTGTATTTATGAAATAGAAAAAACAACATTTAGGAAAATACATATAAACAACCATTCTATGTTCTTCATAAGAATGACACACTTTTAATAGACATAGTGTCAACATAAGAATAACAATGAATGATATTGTTGTCTCATACATACGATTTAAGAATTAATGCTGTATTCTTAAATATTTCAAAGAATCGGTATGTACTTATAATATGATAAAATTATAGATGAATACGATTACAAACATATACATTATAATATCTATATTACAAGATTATATCGATCTGTTCAAATACATTGCTATGGTACAAAATTTAACGTATTCAAAGTGTAGTAAATGTTAAAAAGGTTGTACCCTAATTTTTCTCTATGTATATCAATGGACACTTATGAATATGTCAGTCTATTCCAAAGCACCTGGATCGTTAGCAAGTTTGATAATCAAATTTAGCAATTATATTGAAATTTTATGGTACATCAAAAGCAAAGGAAAAGTTTCATCGTGTGTTGAATACATTATACAACATTTTTTGATGTTATTGTATCAGATTCATATATTTTATATTAAAAGAGCTTACCGCACGATGCATTTAATACAATCGTAAGGTAATAAAAAGTATGGTAACTCGACCATACGTGTCTGTCAGTATTGGAAAGAATGATGTAAAAGTTTATCCGGTTTGTTCAAACCAACTTCAGTAAACAGAGTACTAGACTCGAAGTCAATAACAAACTAATTGTAAATGTAGATGCGGCGCTTAGACCGGCTACCAAATTTTTACACGGCGTCACTCGTAAAATGAAGTTCAATATGGAGTCTACGATGTTAGCAGGCGTGGGATCTGAACATTTTTCCAATTCCTTAACAATGCAACCTTGGACAATGGAAATATCCCTGCGCATAAGATATTAATGTTGTTAGTATCATTACCGCAATTCTATTTTGTTTTATTATTTTAACATCTACTTACCCACATTCTTTATTACCAAGTTCAAGAAGATGATCGATGCGATCCAATCCTATAAACGAGCCATTGTTTGCATCCATAGGAGGAATATATTTGGCAAAAGTAACGTTGACACAGTTCGCAATTTCTTTTTCTTTCGACTGTAAACATTCTGGTCCGTTAGCAGATATAAAAACTATAAATAATAAGAAACCCATTTAATCAAAGTTTTCACATATAGAATTCTTGTGCGCGTAAAGATATCGATATTGATGTACGTACGTGCAATACGATCTCCTTCTTTAAAACAAACAAAGTTCAAGAGAGAATCGGTAATATTCAAAAGTATTTTTCTATTCTCTTTCTCCGATATTTCCAAGCAAGGTTCTATGGCTGCCGTGAAATCACTGACACACTTCTTAAGCTTGGGCGTCTTGCGGCAGTAACTTCTAAATACTATGTCCAAATCTCCGGTAGGTTTATACTTCTCCATCTCTGCTACAAGATCCTTGAAGTTTACGAATGATTTAAGGCATTCTTCCAATTTATCTTCGGCTTGAACAGCGTTTTCGAATACACCTTGACCTCCGTTCTTCTCGCATTTTTGTTTAAACAAATATTTTGCCTTGTCGAGAACAGGTATCGCGGATGCATTCAAAGTGCTCAAATCTGGAAGGGCGGATGTGTTTAAGTTTTTGAAGTCATTGGAAACTTTATTCAACACATCGTCCACACTTTCTTGAGAACTAGTGAGCCCAACGAGACCTAAAAGAAAAACAAAAAAACTGCTGAGTAGTTCATCTTGTTAAAAGTAATCTAATAATATGTCATCTCCCTAGGAAGAAAATTAAACTAGAGATAATTAATCCCTACACGATCTGTAGATGCTTTTCTAAGTCTTCGATTTTAAATGTCGAAGTTGATAACTTTCAGTATAGGATAATGTTTGTGTCTCGTAACGAAGGCGGAAATACGCGCGTCAGCTATAGTGCTTCAGTTACGAAACACTAGAATTTATATCGAGATATTTTGACGTTCGTTCTTGTTAAGCACGGCATTTGTATTCTGTGAAATACAATCCAGCAAATGAAAATGCATCTGAAGGAGGCACAAGTACAAAGTACAGAAACTGAATAGATATGTAGTTGTTACACGTGCACTGTAACGGCTGCGTACACCCCCGGTAAGAAAAACAATCTGATAATGGATCGTGATTAATATTATCTATTCTTTACATTGTAGATATTTGGAATATTTACATGGAAAAAGGAAAAGTAACAATCAATATCTTAACCACACTCGTCTCTAATGAGAATTCGATTTTCTACCTTGTTGGATTTCTCGCTACGATCACTTTTTATCGATTATGCGAATGCAATCGAAGGTCGCTCTATCGTTTCTTTAACCGTGAATCGACTACGATTCAAGTTTGTCGTACCGCTCTCGACGGAACGATGTCGCGAATTGCAATAAATACATAGACAGCCCGTAATGCATCGTTTACAAAAGAAAAACGATCGTATTTCAAACTGACTCTGACACAGCACACGTAACAAGAAGTCCTTAACATCTAATCAGATGATAAGTGAAGCGAACGTAAAAAAGCCATACGGCATTCTCGAGACACCTATATGATTTTTGTGCATACAATCGTTTTACACACATCGAATACGCTGTCGATACGACTGTCTCTTTCGTTCGCACGTTTCCTTTCTTTGTTGTTTATCGTGTTACATTGCGTGTCGTGTCGTGTCGTAGTCGTGAATCGTTCCAGTTTCTCAACTCTATTAACGTAGATCGAAAACAAAAACGCGAGTTCTTACACATTTCCCTAGCTTCCTAGACTCTGTCGACACTCGACAGTGACGGAGGCTATCGGTGGGGCGGACTTACCGCAAAGGAACACCACGGCAGTTATGGTCGAATACTTGATCATTTCAGGTTCTTTTTACTTTTCACAGAGGAGGACTTGTTTCACCGAAAAAATATTCTTACGAAATGCCGTGAGGTGAGACGGCGAAAAAATACGCGCCACTGTACGAGCAAGATGGATTGTATACCGGTTAGATGCGCATCACTGTCACGAGCGTGTTCGCTGACTCGACGGTTCGACGGGTCCAAGTTCCCGCTCTCGCTCCGTTATTACGAGAGGCTGACAACTTTATGGCTTGGTTTACGTCGACTAACGACTTACGATGCGACACAAGGAAACTCGGTGAAAGGCAGGGGGACAAAGATGAAAGAACAGAACGTAAATTGGGAAGCGGAGTGTGCAACAACACAATCTCAAATACTCGGCAGAGCAACGCTACTCCGATACTGAACCGCTGAGCGCTTGCGCTCGGCTTATATAAATCCGATGGACACGTCCTTCGCGCTCCCTGTGTTCCATTTCGCGCTAAATGTTTCAAAATTCTTTTCAATTTCACAGATTTTCGCCATTTCAAGTGTCTCTTAGAAATGCTCCCCTGTACTGTCTACCAAAGAACAATATACCTGCATATCAACGATTTTAAGTATTGGTAAGTGATAAAACATGCGAATGTTCCAAAATTAACTGTGATTGGATGTGTGTATCAGAAAATTCATAAAATTTTACTGTTTTTAATTAGTACATGTTTATGCTTATTTTAAGGGCACAATGAATAAATGTTCAACATGAAATGCTACAGATGAAATTATTTTGACGAAAGACCAAGAGTTCATTGTACCTATTCTTGAGCAGACGACAAACTGTGCTCGTTTCCAGCCGCTCATCTGAAAAGGGGTTTTAAGTAACAGATATATATATATATATATATTCTATTGATTTATATAATTTTGCGTTTATATTACATAATTATAGATGCCCAGATGTATATGTTACGTTCGTTATATTGCAGGAAGCATCGGTGGTTCAGTGGTAGAATGCTCGCCTGCCACGCGGGCGGCCCGGGTTCGATTCCCGGCCGATGCAAATTGTGTTTCTTTTTTATTTTATCTTTTTCATTTCCATTTGCCTATCAGACTACAAATAGATAAAGAAACGTATAATTGTGATAAGTAAGGCGGTATTGTACAAAGACTGTATCTATGTATCATGTGAATCTGCTGTAAATACGTTTCAACTAGTCACCTTCTAATGTATGTATATGCAAAACTTTGACACGCGAGAGTTATAAATACTACATAAACAGGATTAACGTAGAGGATACCCGAGACTTTGTTCTAAAAATGTATTTTGCGTATCGATTGAAATGCGAACGCACGACGGGTATAAGATGGTCGTTAAAGTCTCCAAGACTAGGTATGTATACGTTCAGTGTTTTCAGCCTTTTCTCGAAGGTATTCATTGTTATTAATTAAATGATCCACAAACATACTGATTCGATAACCTTTTAGATACAATTTAGCTGGATATTCAATTCCTTATCGTCTACGATAAGATTGTTCCCTGATATCAAACGCTAGCTAATAAATATTAAATAATTGCAATAAATTGTTGGATGGAACATCAACTTGCTGGTACATAGAAGTGCAGCAGTAAAAATTGTTGCTACCTGTGAATAGACATCGTGATAATTAGTTATTATCGGGTAAATTGTTAAGTAGATTATTAGGTATGTAATATACGGTTGTGAACATAAACGTTTATTGGAATCTTTTATGTTACAATATCAGAGTGACAATAAATTGTATTTAGCACTTATATATATTTTTTNATATATATATATATATATTCTATTGATTTATATAATTTTGCGTTTATATTACATAATTATAGATGCCCAGATGTATATGTTACGTTCGTTATATTGCAGGAAGCATCGGTGGTTCAGTGGTAGAATGCTCGCCTGCCACGCGGGCGGCCCGGGTTCGATTCCCGGCCGATGCAAATTGTGTTTCTTTTTTATTTTATCTTTTTCATTTCCATTTGCCTATCAGACTACAAATAGATAAAGAAACGTATAATTGTGATAAGTAAGGCGGTATTGTACAAAGACTGTATCTATGTATCATGTGAATCTGCTGTAAATACGTTTCAACTAGTCACCTTCTAATGTATGTATATGCAAAACTTTGACACGCGAGAGTTATAAATACTACATAAACAGGATTAACGTAGAGGATACCCGAGACTTTGTTCTAAAAATGTATTTTGCGTATCGATTGAAATGCGAACGCACGACGGGTATAAGATGGTCGTTAAAGTCTCCAAGACTAGGTATGTATACGTTCAGTGTTTTCAGCCTTTTCTCGAAGGTATTCATTGTTATTAATTAAATGATCCACAAACATACTGATTCGATAACCTTTTAGATACAATTTAGCTGGATATTCAATTCCTTATCGTCTACGATAAGATTGTTCCCTGATATCAAACGCTAGCTAATAAATATTAAATAATTGCAATAAATTGTTGGATGGAACATCAACTTGCTGGTACATAGAAGTGCAGCAGTAAAAATTGTTGCTACCTGTGAATAGACATCGTGATAATTAGTTATTATCGGGTAAATTGTTAAGTAGATTATTAGGTATGTAATATACGGTTGTGAACATAAACGTTTATTGGAATCTTTTATGTTACAATATCAGAGTGACAATAAATTGTATTTAGCACTTATATATATTTTTTTTAGTTTAGCAGTTGTATTTAAGCAGTACATCGATGTTTCCATCATTTTGTTCTTTTAGTGTACAGTGTGACTCTGAACTTGATAAAGCATATAAAATCGATCGCGTTTCTTTTGGGACAAGCCGCTTCGAATAGATAAACACGAGTTGGGTTTACACGATATTGAATCCTGTAACCAACTTCTGTTCCTTATACACTATGCGTACATACGATTCATATAATTGTGTAAATAGTATAATAATTCAACGAATTTTGGACCAATTTCATTTGCAGATTGTTCGTGGAACCGATTGGGAACTGCTGTCGAACGTCTACGAGGAGCAATGAAGCTGATTTTGCAAGATTATTTGCTCGTTGCCCTCATTATGGAATAGCTTAGTTATCGAACAATTGCGACCGAGAAAACGAGGTGGCACTCAACGTGTTTAAATCATTAATTATTACATAAGGGAGGTCTCATAACGTATGAGAAAAGAGAGAGAGAGAGAGAGAGAGAGAGAGAGAGAGAGAGAGAGAGCAAGAGAGAGAGAGAGAGAGAGCAAGAGAGAGAATGTTCGCCTTTCAGTTCATAAATAATGAACACAATTGTGCTGCGCGGATTACCAAGCTGTATAGGTTTGCTGTCGGCATTGACCGTGAAAGCTTAACGTCCTTGATAAAGCCGATAATTCTGAGTTGGTTGTAGCTGCGTACAAAGTTCAAAGCTTGTAAGCATTTCGCATCATTAAATCAAAGTACGCGTCATGGTCGATGCTTGCGCTGATCGCGCCGTAATAATTCATGAACTCCTCCTCGGTGACCTGCAATTAACGTGGAATTACGTTTCAGATCATCAACATCGGCTCTGCGGTATGGAACGCTACCTATACGTGTAAGTATACATATACGTATTGAGAATTTTTGGAAAATAGAAAAGAGCCCTCACGGTGCCGTCTCTGGTATTGTTTTGCTCGAAATTGGCCAGGAACTTGTTCAGGATGCTCTCCTCACTCTCCTCTCCGCTTATGTAACGAGGATGACATTTCACGTTATAAACGCCTTTCAGATCGTCGATAGTGATCACACCGTCGCCAGTTTTGTCAAGCTTCTTGAACGCTTGATCAACCACGTTCCTGCGGCTTTGCGACATCGGCGGCTGTATAATAAAACGCTTCGTCATGATTACGATCCGATACATCAGGTGCTTCGTCTATAGAGATTACAAACATCCAGTACCCGTATAGCAACTATGAACTCGTCCACGCTGATATTCCCGTCGCCGTCTGTGTCGAATTTGTCAAAAATCTCTTTCACCTCCTCCTCCGAAACTTCCAAACCGGTCTCCTCCAAACCATTCGTGAACTCCTCAAGGTTTAGCTTCTTGTTGCCGTCATCATCCATGCGACGGAAAACTCTGAAAATCGACTGTATCGACAAAAGTGTCTTTTGGGAGTTTTATGGAATTAAAACTATTATACAAATGGATCGATTGTGCCCACTCACCTACCCAGGCCGAGGATACCATTGGCACCTCGAGCCAGGCAGAGCAGACGCAGCTTCTCAATGGAGTCCGTGGCTGTGTGTATGGCCCGTTGGGCCTTATTGATCATCTCGGTCTCTTGCCTGGTCGTTGCGCTCTGCGGTCTGTTAAAAAACATCCCTGCAAGAGAAACCTGTTCTTCGTTGACTCATGCTGCAACGATGATTCAGATGTCCAGGAAAGAGATAGTGTGAAACTGAGTGGTGGGATAAAGCACGAAAAGTGGGAGTTACGGTACTGATCCACATTATACAGATTAATCCAGCAAGCTTACCGCATCTGTCGTACTGACTTTTTCAGGTTTTAAAATTCGCAGGAAATGTTTCATTTTATTTGACTGCAAGGTGTCGGTAATCGGACTTCATTGAATGCCCGTTACGCGTGTCAATAATTAAACACTGAGGAAATGTTGCGTCTGGTATGTATGTACTATAGAAGTTGAGAAAACTATCGACTCGATTTTAATGCATTTTGTCAGAAACCAATCGTTTAAAATAATCTCTGTGTCGCGTGTTTCTTTCTCAAAGTCTTAAAAATTGCTTTCTTTTTTAATTAATATTATTGTTTTAGAACGACGAAAATAGATATTGCCAAAAATACTACAAAAAGTTCGTTACAAGGTGCGTATTCGTGTGTATTTTGACATAGTCCTGTTTCATTTTCCACATTGACTTACCTCGATTTTATGTAAAGGGAGTTAGAACCATGCGCGCCAATTGCTTGGAGAAGATTCCTGATGGAATGGTGTTCGAAGGATAAGTACCAGTAAAAGTTCGTGTTTATTCCGAAGAAGATTGGAAAGCGAGTGATGGTAACTGGTTCTTTTAGTACGACTAGTCGCATTCAATAGGTCGGCATACAGTGGATCACACGTACGTTGATGGACACCACGCTCACATATGAAAACAAGGAGTGCTGTCATGTACAATGTCCATACAATAGTCTGTAGAACGTATCCATAACGACCAAACAGCCACAACACGTGTATCGGCAAAAATTTCACGCGTGATCAATTCCCAATACCGATTTCCTATTGATGGACTATCATGAGTATAAGGCGGCCCCTAGTATACTACTTACTGGATAACATTCTAAGGACTTACTCTAGCTGCTCGGAAGAAGGTCTTACTCTGTTAACTATGCGACCTTTCATCTCTTTTTCCGCGTACAATTATTTAAACAATTTCATGGGCACTCAACTTTCTTTGAATTCATGATAACTACCTTACACGAGATGTTCTAACGCATTCAACTGTTACAGATATTACAGGTGGTATTGCCCAAGGGTTTCAGTCTATAGAGTCTATGTAGAGTAAACCTATTAGAACTTTAACATTCTTGGGATCTTGTCATAGTACGTAATGGTAATATCCGGTCTTTGTTTTCTAACGGTCAGCTTACTTAACGACTCGTTTCTATCGCTGATAGTGATCATTGGTCTGTAACATCGATCATACTATTTTGTTTTTAGCAAAAGGTAGTATTTAAGATTGAAATGAATGCATTAGGATATATACGATATCATTTTGTGTTGAAGCAAATTCGATTGAAATCGTGTAAGGAGTTATTTGCTTCGAATTATGTATAATTAGTCGTATATAGTCTTTATAAAATGCCAGTGGATAAGACCCCTATTACCATTCCAGTGTTGAGCACAGCATTATCGTTAGTTCACGAATTTAGGCATATTATCACAAAGCGAATATCCTATATACTTCATTTCTACTTCGAGTGCTGATTATTATTTGGAGGTAGTACATTAGTGTAGATGTCGCGGCATTTAAATAACGGAAATGGTATTTATAAAACAGGTACTGTAGAAATACGATACAAAGTGTAATTATTTGTATGGACAGTCGTGCTGTTGTTTATAATAATTAATACTCGATCCTCGCTAAGAAACTTAATTTCGAAGATATCTGAAATGTGTGATGTCAATATTTTAAATATGGTTGTCACAAGTCTGGCTGTCATGTACATATATATATATATATATATATATATATATACGTACATGTTTAACTGTCATATATGAAATATCTGTCGGTAGATGGCAGAACTAGTCGTATTTAAGGTGTCAGACTCCCTATCGAGGAGATAAAGATAGAGGGCACAGTTACCGATATAATGAGACGAAACATGAATTTACGGGGTGACACTCGACTACCTTGAATTAGTATCTTTTTCAAAAAAAAGAAGGTTCAATGCAATGCGCCAGTATCAGACTTCATGACCCATGGACCTGTATGTACAATATAGAAATGTATTCTTAAGTTCATGGCGATTCTAGTTACTCCTATTTTACCATTCGATGATAATCGATGAGTTCACCTGTTGTTTTTTTTATAGGAGCATATCATAAGTACAATACGTACAATAATGGTTACATCCGATATATTTAAGCACATGTGTATGGAAACGATACAAATGAATGGTATGCGTGAGTTAACGTCAATTTTATTTAGAAGTATGTGAATTAGCGAAGAAAATTCTAGAACTGCTGAACGAAATGTGTTGCATTTATTCGCCAATAGGCAGAGGACATTTGGATGGAACAGTAGCCGGCTTATTTTTGATTGGTTATTGTACATTGCGTGGGTCTACCCGATTGGTGGGTGCTCCCGGGTTCCTCTTGCTATAACACAGCGTCGTGGCTAGATTATGTGACAGTCGGTCGTAGTCGGTGTTGAAACAACGGAGCGTGGCGTTTGTGTATTAACTCTTGTATTTTCTCTATTTTTCCTGCGATTATTCGTGAACATTTGGCGACATCAATGATGAAAGCATTAATATTGATATCTATTCTGTTCCTTCTGGCAGGTACATATGTTACACAGTAAATCGATAATTATACAAGGAAAATGTGTGTTGTTAGTACACGTTAATTGTGTATCATAATAAAAAATTTCTTCTTCTTTATTTAGGATTTGCCAGAGCCGAAGATCAAGTCGACGAAGATATTGGAACCGTTGAGAATGATTTGGGTGCCAGCCGGGAAGGATCTCGAACAGGTTATACAAGTTCTCGTTTTTCTTTTTGTTCGATCTTTCTATATTCAGAAACGCCCCTTTCCTTAGTTCATAATATTCAAATTCCAATAGAGTTCTTAGTTTTTATTTATCTAGTTCATAAAAATAATTAAATTACTGTTCTTAGCCAACTCGAAACTGTGATCTTTTTTTACACCAGTTCAAACTATTTACACGTTTTACAGACGATCAAGTGGTTCAAAGAGAAGAGGAAGCTATAAAGTTAGATGGATTAAATGTAGCACAAATGAAAGAACTCAGGGAGAAGGCTGAAAAATTTGTGTTTCAAACCGAGGTTAATCGTATAATGAAACTTATTATTAATTCGCTATACCGCAACAAAGACATTTTCCTTAGGGAATTGATATCCAATGCTTCGGATGCTTTGGATAAGATCAGATTATTATCGTTAACAGACAAGAATGTCTTGGATAGTAATCCGGAGTTGGCAATCAGGATAAAATCGGACAAAGAGAACAAGATATTGAGTATAACTGACTCCGGTATTGGTATGTCTAAAAATGAATTAATTAATAATCTTGGAACAATTGCAAAATCTGGTACGGCTGAGTTCTTGGGCAAAATGCAAGAGACTTCCAACACTCAGGATCTAAACGATATGATTGGCCAGTTTGGAGTAGGTTTTTATTCTGCTTTCCTAGTTTCAAATACTGTAATTGTTACATCCAAGCACAACGATGAAAAACAGTACATTTGGGAGTCCGATAGTTCTAGCTACAGTATTGTAGAGGATCCAAGAGGAGATACTTTGAAGAGAGGAACAACAGTAAGGTACGGAATATATATATATATATATATATATATATATATATATATATATATATTATTCACAATAGAATGTACATTATTTATTTTGTATCTGGGCAAAGCTACATTAGCTACGTACAAAGCTAATTTATTCGTTGTTGCAGCCTTCATCTGAAAGATGAAGCATTGGATTTCCTGGAAGAAGATACAATTAGAAATTTAGTAAAGAAATACTCGCAATTCATCAACTTTCCCATATATTTGTGGAGTAGCAAAATTATTCAAGTCGACGAAGAAGATGATGAGGATGAAGAGAAACCTGTAGAGGAAGATGAAAGGAAGACGGAAGAATCTATCAAAGATAAGGTATTGGACGAGGAAGGTGACGCAAAGGTGGAGGATGCTGAGGATGAAAAAAAGACAAAGAGAGTTGATAAAACCGTTTGGAATTGGGAATTGCTCAACGATTCGAAGCCTATATGGACCTTGAAACCATCGGAAGTCTTAGAAAAAGATTACAATGATTTTTACAAAGCGTTAACGAAAGACACTCAAGAACCTTTGGCAAAAATTCATTTTGTAGCGGAAGGTGAAGTCACTTTCAAATCGCTTCTGTTTATACCGAAGGTGCAACCAGGCGACAGCTTTAATCGTTATGCTACTAAGTCGGATAATATTAAATTATACGTTAGGAGGGTCTTTATCACCGATAAATTCACCGACATGATGCCCAACTATTTGTCCTTCATTTGCGGTATTGTTGACAGTGACGACCTACCACTTAACGTATCTCGTGAAAACCTGCAGCAACACAAACTTATTAAGGTAATCAAGAAAAAACTGATCAGAAAGGTCTTAGATATGATAAAGAAGATTCCCAAGGAAGAATACGACAAGTTCTGGAAAGAGTACAGCACAAATATTAAACTAGGTGTAATTGAAGACGCTCAGAACAGGGCCAGACTGTCGAAACTGTTGCTCTTCCACTCCTCTACTCAGAAGGGCACTACATCTCTAGCAGATTATGTCTCGCGGATGAAGTCCAGTCAGCAATACATCTATTATATTGCAGGCTCCTCTGAGGAAGAAGTGAAGAAGTCTCCTTTTGTTGAAAGACTGGATAAGAAAGGATACGAGGTACTCTATTTGACTGAAGCTGTCGACGAATACGCTATTTCAGGTCTTCCTGAATTCGATGGCAAGAAGTTCCAGAACGTGGCCAAAGAAGGTTTCTCTCTCGAAGAGGGTGACGAGGCCAAGGAGAGGATGGAACATCTCAAGACAACGTTTGAGCCGTTAATCAAATGGTTGAACGATATTTTGAAGGATTATGTCAGCAAAGCTCAAGTGTCCGAACGTTTAACGGATTCTCCCTGTGCTTTGATCGCCAGTATGTTTGGGTGGACTGGAAACATGGAGAGACTCGCAATTTCAAACGCTCATCAGAAAAGCGACGATCCACAGAAAACTTATTACTTGAATCAGAAAAAGACGTTGGAAATTAATCCAAGGCATCCACTGATCAGAGAACTGCTACGACGCGTAAAACTGGACACTGCTGATGAAACAGCGAAAGACATCGCTCTAATGATGTTCAGGACAGCTACCCTTCGATCTGGGTACATGCTTAGGGAAACTGCGAGCTTTGCCGATAGCGTGGAACAGCTGATGAGGAAAACTTTGGACATTCCTCTGGATGAACAACCGGAAGAAGAGGAAAGTCTAGAAGAGAAAGATGAGAACAAACACGAGGAACTATAACCTATGGAAACTGTATCGCATAAATCTAATTCTACAGTAGCTGTATAACCGTACAATGTATGGTTACACAGTGTTCGATTGCATTGTGCAAAATGTTTACTACCGTGCTTTCAATCGAGAAAAAAAAACTACTGTCATTGTACAGAAAGAGAAGGAAGTGTTCTTCGATCCTTCTTTGCAGCATTTAAATTACTTTGTAATGTTATTGTTGCGAAAACACAAAGTCGACGATAAAATATTCCGCCGAATATTAAGTTCAGTCATCGTAATACATTGTAGACTTTATCATAGGCTCTACTTTCGATAACGAATTATTATTGTAATTTATTTCATCCAGTTTTTTCACTTCTTGTTTCTTAAAATGGTGATCTAAAAGGGTCATTCATTGAACATAATAAAACGTAGTATGTTTGTGATGCGAATGAATGTGTTTGTATAAAAGGATATTAAAAGATTACTGAAATATCATTATAGTTGTGTACTTCAACATTGCCAATTACTTTGTGTGATAAACATTATCGGTATATCGATCCTCTGTATTTTCACACATAAAAAGGTCGGACAATGTAGCTTCATGATTTATAAAGAAACAAAACTACGACTCGTATAAAGATGCGCTCTTTCATTTTTAAATTTATTGGACATACGCGCCTAATTATAGTTTAAATAAAGCGCGCGTAGCACACGTATCAGCACATTGATCGTATAAAAGCTGGGAAGAGATGTTGTTTGATTTTGTAAGGTTTTCCTTCAAGAAAATTGTTTAACAGGCAGGTCTATGTATTTGCAAAAATATATTTCATACGTGACTTTAGGGTCATTTCTGCAATAATTTTCTAATATTTTATATTTTTACGGTTCGCATTTTCAAAATAATGTAAAATTATTCGTTTCCGGCATGGCTGCCGTTTCGGGAGATGAACCAGTGGGAACGCTTGATTCTGTTGGAACTGGGACAAGTGGCGTAGATATCCGAGCGCGGCCGAGCGCTCATTTCCGTTTTCGAATCCGACGTCACCTAACTCTGAAAGCCCGTGTGTTTTGTGTTTCTTTGGGGCCACGATGATTATCGCTAATTTAACGTAAGTATCGTTAGGTTTCTCGGATAAAATCGCGCAGATCAGATCCAGTGAGATTCGCGCGGTGTCGTTTGTAAAAGGAGATTGGTCACGAAACCGTGCGAATTCCTTTGCGTAAGTTTCTCACTGAACAGCGAACAGCTTACTCGCCATGCCGGTCTATAAAGCAGTCCTTCTTTTTCGAGCACATTCAATTCTCCGAGAAACATCGGGATTAATCGAAACCGGCTGCCTCTATAATATCTGTATATCAACGACAGCCTTGACAAAATCAATTCTTCCGTCCAAAGATAAAGAACTCACTGATGATATACAAATCACCACATATAAACAAAATAAATGGCGTCGGCATAGTTCTACTCGGAATGTGACAAATTTTCGATCCTCGAGTGTTTGTTCGCTCTTTGACGGCTCGACCACGCGTTACTGTACGTTAACGAAAGTATGTTCTCGACATGCGATAAAAATCATCTGCATATTTTTTTATCAGAATTTGTATTATATTATATTATATGCTTCATTTTTCTGATTTTTCTTTTATCACTGATTTGTTAACGAATGGTTCTCTTTTGCCATAGTTCTTCATTATAGAGCGTGCGATATAACTGTACTAAGTAGTTTAATATGCGTATTTTGAATGTTGTACAAATGGAACCTCTTAACAAATAAAATTAAAAATATATTTTGTTAATGACGAATGGTGTTTATTTCAGGTTGAAATTATTGAAATTGAAATTAGATTTCTTCAAGTTGTAAAAGTATCCGAAGCAAAATATTAAACACTCTCAGCTATAGTTAATAAATAAGCAAAAAGAAGTTGTAACACTGTACGAAAGACTTAAACATTTAAGTAGTAACTTTATATTACAAATTGAATCGTGATCAAAATGGGCATCCAAGATCTGCAAGTCTTTTTGGATAGCAACTATATACAAGGGGGATCTGTACCAGTTGATCTATTAAAAATTGCGCGTGCCATTGTACGAAGGCAGCACAATCGTATTGGTAGAGAGCAACGATTATATACCGAGAAGTTGAGGTTAGTTCTTGATGGGGAATGCTGTTTGGATAGATTATACGGCGGCTATTTCTCAGGTACATGTTCCCTCCTGTTCATAATAGTATTTTAATGTAAACAAGTATTAACGAGCATTCGAAAATTCAGATTGGACTTGCGGAGGACAATGGAATCGAATGCTACAGTTTCTAGCAGTCCTCATAGAGGCAACAGAAATATCAAGCTTGGAATTAGCTGTATTCTTCAACGGATGTTTTGAATCTCCTCGACGTGCAGACTGGATACAGAATCAATTACAAGTTAGGATAAAAGTGAACAATGTAAGCTGTTCTTTTATTTCTGTAAAATACAATAGAATTTCTATAAAATCTGTATAGTCTAAGGCAATCATTTTTACAGGTATTGAAACACATTTCAACAAAGGGTACTCCACCGCCAAAAATATGGTGGACTCCGCCAGTTTGTTTACGAACCAGTCTACGAATGGCTCTGAGACATTTAAATGTTACAGTTGTAAGTAAAATTACTCGATGCGTATCGTGATTTTCTGGTTTAGCAGTGTATCGTTTATTTTATTATCGAAACAGTTATGCAGTATGGATGACCACCATCAAGAAGTAATTGCTTATTGTCGAGAAAATAATTTCAACGGTTTAATTGCTGACGACGCAGAGTACGCAGCGTTTGATCCTCCACGATATTTTTCGTCCGAACAGCTGAAACTTACGTACAAGGTATACCCACGGCCCATCGGAAAGCTGGTCGGTGACTTTGCGTATGCAAAATTAAATGAAATTTAATATTTTTATTCAAGGGTTCCCTCGATACAAAGGAATACGTACTTCCTGAACTTCTGAAAGCACTGAATATACCATCCGATAGATTGTGCTTGTTAGCTGCTCTACTCGGGAATTATATCTTGACTGAGCAAGATTTGGCTGATTTTTATAAGAAACTCAATCTCAACACTAATTTAAACAAAGTAAATGCGGATAAAAACGAACTTACGATAAAAGCAATCGCCAGTTTCGTTAAAGACCTTCCATCCGTTGAACTGGATGTGGTGGCGCAAAAAGTGTTTGGAACTTTGTTGGATTCAAGGTGTTCGAAATTGCGACAGTCCGTTCAGTACTACATAAATGGAACCAAAGATGGGTTTTTGCATTACAAACTGGAGAAACTAAACAAACGTAAGTAATTTCATTCCGATTCCATGTAGTCTAGTCATGCTTCTATCGTACAGTATCCCTGGGTTAAAAATCTAACGACTGTTTCAGTGCTTAAATTGGACTCGAAACAGAACACGATACAGACGCCAACGTCAAATTCAATTGAAACGCCTGTAACTTCGGATGCCGATACCAATTTGGAGACGTCGAAGTTCGCGTCCGAAACTGTGGAGAGCGAACGTGAGAGTCTAAATGCGTACAAACAAGCGACAGCTAACGCAAAGTCTGCTCCACAAATTGTAATAGACCCGCCCGGTATTCAGGGTCATGGAGATGCCGATAATATTAGAGTGGATGAAGTGGAACAAAGTAAGAATAGCAAAAGTAATTTAGCAAATGAATTCGGTGAAGTAATGCGGTGAAATGCTATTTAGGTAATGGACATGCCGTAAACGGTACCCATAACCTTCTAATTAGTTCGTCGAGTTCGAGTAGCAGTTCTTCCGCCACTTCTCCATCTCACGCAACGGCTGATTCTGCTAGGCAAGCAGAGAAGACAACTAGTATTCCGACCACGGTGCCGGAAGTGATGCGCACCGTATCCGAGAGACACCAGAACGGATTAATGTCCCCTCATATCTATCAGATTCTTATCGCCGGCGAGATCAAGTTACCGGTTCTTCTGGAGGACGAAAATCACCGTGAATTTCCATCTATTCATCTCATTTACAGACCCGTTCGGCAGATGGTGTACGCTATATTGTTTAATCTTCATCACCGAATGTACTTGGCTGCTAAAAGTAAAGAGAAAGGTGGTAAGTATAATAATTGTTTTTATCAATCGTGTCGTCAAAGTCGTTATCGCATTCTATTGGTTTCTTCCGTAGATAGCGAAAAGATCGAAGTCCCAGATGTTATTATAAAAGAATGGGTATGGTCCAAGTCGAATCCGTACCAAGTCCCAGAATTGGTGAAGGCAGAACAAATAGGTTGGGGCGTCCCTACGATTCAACGTTTGTGGTTTGGGTGAGAGACTTTTATCTTCATCGCTGTTGTTAAGCGTCGATCGAATGTTTAGCGAAGTGGACACGAAGAAAATTATGCGTTGCATCCTTCAGCACAGGTATAGATGATAAACGCCGTCGTCTGCGAGGATTCTTGACCTGTATGAGGTCTGACACACCTCTCATGTTAAATACCACCTATGTACCTCAACACTTGTTAGTGATGGCTTGTGTATTGAGGTAATTATTCGAATGTTCCATTTGTGGGAAGGTTGTAAGTTATTTTAACGTGGCCGCGCTCCTCTTCCAGATACATCATGTCATTCTCGGATATAATCAAGATCCTACGTCGTCAGGAACTAGACGCTTTCATTGCGCAAGCATTTTCGCCCGAACTCATGAACGCTCAGTATTTGCAAGATCTTCAGGTATCGAGAATACACACACGTACATCAGTTCCATCGAATGAATTACTGATCAAGTTCGTCTCTGCAGCTTCCTTTAGTGACATCTCGCGGGGTACAGTTAGCTACATTATTTATGGCTGGCGTTGAGACCGCTCTCTTGGCTAACGATGCTTGTGGCGCGCCAATTCCATGGTTAATGTGTTGCCCATGGTTATATTTCGACGGTAAATTATTTCACCACACATTAGCCCGTGCTACGATAGCGAAAAACTTACTGGAACTCTGCAGTGGTCACGTAGAACGTGTTGTGAAAGTTGATCGAATGAGGAAAGCTGTACTGGAGGGTATCAATGTTGTTTTTGCAAGGCCACCCATCCCCGTTGCCCCAGGTAATTCCCGATCAGCTTATCTTTCATAGATTTCAGATATTGAGACAGGTTCATTCGACATACCGTGTACGCTCTCCTAATGGCATGTTTTCGGAGGAATGGAAGAAGAATAGATTCGATTGTGTTGCTTTTTGGTACTTAGGCTTCGAATCTCAAAGCTGATACAACTTTCGTTTCGTTCCCATAGTATGTTCGCGGTTGATCATAAACGAATTTTCCCAGGTATTCGCGGGTCGGTGCCCCAGAATATTTTAGGCGCCAATTGTACAATTAACGACAGTTTGATGCGTGGCCGTGGAAGCGCGACGATGCCTCAACGCGGATTGATGCGTCGTCCTATACCGTCGCGCGGCGGTCAATTAGAAATTGCTGGAGTTGTCGTCGGTCAATGGGGCCCCAACTATGGACAACCCGGACGTTTGCCTCAACCGTTGCAAGGTCATCCTCGTGGACGACTTCCACCGCAGGTAGAATATCCTGTGAGAAGCAATAGTAGCAAAACCGCGAAACGTTCATTGTGTATTCCTCGTTCATCCATATTCACTGGAAGCTATCGCTTAGCAGCAAGCTTTTCTAACTTGTAACGAGATGCTTCGTAACCTATTGTTACCGAGACATACGTTTTAGATAACATCGATTGGCGGGCTGAAATACGGTCTTCCACGTGGGTTCACTCCCATGGCTCGAGCAACGTTTCCAACGCGTGGAAACAATCGCACGCAAATAGCGGGACGTGGGAAAAAGACCCAAATGAAGGTAAACGCGACAACTGTAGATCATTCTATGGAAAAATAAGTATTCAACTGTTTCAGTTATTAATCGAGATCGATTTTTAGGCAACTGGAAAGAAGAAGACCACCGTGAAGAAGAGCAAGGAGTGCGAGAAAAAAGACAGCAAGGGACGAGGTAACGGTGTCGATGGAATAACCGATTACAAGTAAGTCGTTGCTCTGGTTTGAGTTTACATCGTCGGGACAGCCGCTCTGACGAGTATGATTGTACTTCCGAACAGTGACACGATTCCGAGCACGAATGCAACAAAGGAGACACTGCCGGTGCCAGGCCAATTCGAAGATGCCGTCGAGAATGGCAAAGGGATAGAGAAAGGCCAAGGAGACGCTTCTCTCGTTGGTTCGGTCGCTGCTCCAGTTGCTGCTGAGAATTAGGTATTTATATATACATGACTTTTTATCGACTTTTAGACACTCCCGGATATGACTTAAGACTGCAATCAAAAATCTTATAATATGTGTAACGAGGTGATTGTGCGGCATACGACATTTGAACGCTACAATTTTAACCGGCAGAAGAGTCAAGCCCGATGTACATTTTTCATCCTCCTTTCGTGCGAAAAGGTGAGATGAACTGTTATTGTTGTGGGTGCGTACGTCTAGTTCGGAGACGGAGAGATAATAGTAGATTGCTATAATGCACAACGGTGCCCAGAGAGACCTTTCAAATGTCCGCGCGCAGAATCACTCGATAATGTCTAAAGCTCTGATGGGGCCAAAACTAATTAAACTAATATAGGAGACAAGTCATCGGTTAACGTTAACGATGTCAAGAGACTATGTAACACACACATACACAGGATAGAGACCCGTTTCCGACGTACACAATACGATGTCCTCACTGCCAAAACGTACCATTCAATGCGTAAGATACAAAAATGCGAAACAAAGAAACAACAACAAGATAAAAGAAAACACGATTAAAAAAAAACAGTAAAAAGGTTGAGAGAAAACGGTTAATAATATAACGAAAAAAAGATTTAGAAAAGAGAAACGATAAAATCGTGCTTGTGCTAGATGAGCGTTGTTTCAACGTACACTGCGCGCTCGGAAATCACCAATGGAATGAGAACTCGACTGATTAGTGTACGCGTGCGCTAATTTTACTACACGAGAACAAGTCGTCGTCAGCTGCTAATAAGTATTTAATTCTTAAGAAGTGTGATTATTTTTTTTACAATGAAAATATATATTTTCCGGTATTATATGAAATGCTCGCATTGACGGTCTCAGTACTTCGATCCAATGCAAAACCGGACGGAGACATCGTTGTTTTACAATGGGGATAGGATCGAGTGATGGTTTTCTTGTTGTTCCTGGACGACGGAAAACACGCGGGATAGAATACTGAGACGTTCATTAGCAAATGGAGACTGACGCTTTTCATATAGGTAAAATATATATTTATATATGATTTAGATTAGAGGTTTCCAATATATAGCATAATATATCTGTATAAGCTGTGAATGCTCGATGAGCGGAAGTATGCGCATGACTTGTGTATAGAAAATACGAGCGAGACTAATATTCTGCGAGAGAGTGAGTGTGTGAGTGAGTGTGTGAGAGAGAGAGAGAGAGAGAGAGAGAGAGAGAAAAGCTGTTGAATGTAGAGTGAGTGTTCATTTGCGAATCGCTGTGCGGTTAGTGAGAATGATATAATTGCGTGCAAGGAGAGATTATGAGTAAAATTATTTAGAGAAAATCCACAAAAATGTATATAGAAGATCGTGGGCATGTTGAAGAATGTTGGTACTGTGTGGACGCGCGCATCGGTGCGATCGCAAATGGGAAGTTTGTGCGAGCGCGCGCGTGCACACAGCACCTTAGAAATATATATTTATTTGCTGTTGCATCAAAGGAAAGAAGAATGCGTTGTGTGTATGCGACATCGGATTGAAATACCAATTTTTGCACGATACTTGTAATCGTGATCTCTCGGGGTTTACCGCGAAAACGTAGATAAAAGAAAGAGAAAAAAATGAAAAGAAGCAGAGGAGAATCTATGCTCACGGTATGCCCTGGTTTCGCTTCGAAAATATGCTACAATGCCGTCGCAAATTTGAAATTCTATCATTTGAGGCGTGGTTTTGTGATTTGAAATTTTGTTAACTCTGAGAATGCTGGAAAAGAGAGAACGGAAAGTTGGGATTTCTTTGTAAACATATTTATAGAACGACCGACGTTTCTTTTTCTTTTTGGCTTTTGCTCGTTGGTGTTCGAAAGAAGTCAGACTTTTAAAGATGTTTGCGTCCTCGTGTAGCATATTTTAAGAGATGTATATCCACTGTTTAATTGTACATACGAATAGTTACTTTAGAAGTGATACACAGTGTGATTGGTGTACATAAAAGCGCATTCGTGTTGCGCGCTTGCCGCGATAACAGGGATAGGGAATGATTATGTTAAAACGAGAAACAAACAAGAAATGCTATTTATAGCGTAGAATAGTCGGAAAGACTTTCTACCAAAGATCATTGGTGAATGGATTATATCTGTCAAGTATGATATGCCGAAGAACGTGTAAAAAACGGAGAAACAAGACAGCACGACAGAACACGATTATTAAAGGGAGAGAGAGAGAGAGAGAGAGAGAGAGAGAGAGAGAGAGAGAGAGAGAGAGAGAGAGGAAGTCTCGAGGCAAATAGAATGGGTCTTGAGCGTGCAGAGATAATTGAAAGGCGAGTAAGAGAGACGAGCGAACGAAAGAAAGAGAGAGAAACCCATTTATTGAGATAATATAACGAGAGATAAGAATAAAAAATGTTATATTTTTGTAGATTTGTTATTGCGTAAAATGCATTAAGACAATGAGAAACTTTATATAATTTGAGTGATGGTTAAACGAGCCTCTCTGAGAGTGAAAGGACATTAAACAAGTAAGATCACAGAGAGAAAGAGAGAGAGAGAGAGAGAAAGAAAGAAAGAGGGAGAGAAGGTAGAAGAATGAAAGTGCTTTAGACGATGATGGTATGTTGAAGCTAATAGGAAAACACATGAAAAATCTCATTAATTCATCTGTGTCTCTGGAGTTCTCAGAGACATTGAGTTGCTTGGCGAATGAAAAAATTTAGTCGAAACAAGAAACGATTAACAAATATGATTTGAATGATAGCAGAAAAAATAAAGACGAAGAGGAAGAACACGTGGACATTGTGTCAGGTTCGATGCGAGAGCTTAAACGTATAATAAACAATTTTCCCAGATGTAATTCGAAAAAGTCGAAGATTGCTCCAAGTAGAATTTTCGAATTTAAAGGATTCAAGGAAACGAGGTTCCGTGAACGGACGAACTGTTTGTTCACAGATAAACGACTCGCCATCGTTCCAAGATTTTCAATTGAAGAAAAAGAGATATATACATATACATATATATACATACATATATATGCATACGTAAATACATACATATACATGCTCATGTACCCACACGTTGTTTTTTTTGCGTGTATACGTGTGCAAGTAGAAATATTCGAGATACAGACGTCGTCATGTGCATCTACTTTAAACGATCGATAAAGGAAACTAAAGGTCAGCTTATTTACGATGGCATATTGTATATCTAGAAATCTAGAAACATACAGTTTTTAGATCCAACAGAACGGACGAACGAACGAAAAACATATTCGAAAGTAAATGTAAAAACGCCCACTATACACTTTCGTATGATGCTAAAAGATTTTCTTTCTGAGGAACGACGATCGGATCGAACATTGAACAAAACAAAAATATGTATGCCAGAAGACGTGTACATAATAAAAATCACGATGATGGAGGCGAAAGATGCGAAAACTAAAAAGGTATGACACAAACACGTGAGAATGTACACAAGACGATCAGTTGCCTCTGCACCGATACGAGCAACGCGATTAACGTATGTGTAAACAAGGAATAATTTCATAATGATAATAATAATAATAATAATAATGATGATAAATAGTATTGATAATAAGTAAATGAAGCGAACAAGCAATACATGGACATAATACAAAGCAAAACGGGAGAAATGTGAACGAATGAAAGCGAAAAAATAAAGCTGCGTCTCAAGTAATGAAATCCGCATTTAATGGAACAACGGAGAAGTATCGTAAACAGAGAAACAAGGCAAATGGTAGTGTATGGCGAATAAAGATGAGAAATAAAAGTATATGAAAAGTTGTGTGTAATACGATCGACGATAAAGAAAGAGCGCACGCACCAGACTCGTGCCTGCCTGCCTGCCTACCTACCTGCCTACTACCTACCTACCTACCTACCTACCTACCTACCTACCTACCTACCTACCTACCTACCTACCTACCTACCTACCTATGCTTGTCTTGCCTGCCTTTTGTTGTAATAAGTAGGGAACGATGAAGAAAAACAGTAAAATCGGATATATGAACCGTAACGGATAAAAGTAAACGAATAATGGAAAAGTATAGGGGCCCACGAGGATCAACTCATCCGAGGAATAAACTCTCTTGTGTACTTTTAGAAGATAAACTCATTTTAATCCAAACGATCTGTTCATGCGATTGCTGTGTCGTAAAAGAAACAAACAGAAAAGGCGAATATTATTGTATTTGAAAGTTCTGATGTGCCGCTAAACTCCACGCACTCTGTATACGTAAACGATACTGAAAACTGGAACCGAGCTATAGATAAACGCTTGTTGTATAAGCGAGAAATAAGAGAGGCAATACCGCATACCGCCAATCGGAGCGGTATCGCTTTTCTTTCTGTTTTCTTCTTTTCGCAAATCAGTTTCCAAACAACGATGGACCGTTCTCTTTCGTTTCTGTTTCTTATGTTAATTTTGATTTCTTCTCAAAGTTATTCCATCGCTGTTACTCTTTCATTCGCAAATCGATACTGTCACAGCATTGTTCATGGAAACGCGAATCGTTCCTCACCGGACGTACAATTAATTAGCAATTAACAAATGTAAAACTGCCTCGCTATTTTGTCGTTCGATTCCGCCTTGTTATTCCACTTATTATTTAGCTATTCGTTTCTTCCATGTCTTACCATTGTTGTTATTCGACATTTTGTTCACCGTTTGATTTTGTAATCGCATTTGTGCTAAAATTTTGAGTACTTTCGCGACGAATCACACAATGATCATATGTATATACACATAGAAGGAATATATTTATAAAAAGATCTATAGAAGAAAATCGAGCGGATCATTTGATTTCGATGATTTGTTTTGAATGGTGTGGCTGCGTAGACCATAAGCATGATAAGATAGGGAGAAAGAGCGAAGAAAGCGAATGAGAAGAAAAAGAAGAAGAGGCAGAGAGAAAGAAAGGAATGTAAGGAGATCAGGATGACGGGTGCCATTTGCGTAAACGCGTTCACAATTATTGTTTCGCCCGTAATCCTCCACAGAAGCAAGCAACTAATGGGCATTAAAGAAAACGTTCGATGCTTCTTCTGATTTCTCTTCTGGAAAGCGACGAGAGGTGCATAGAGAACGACAAAAGGGATAACGAGTCGTTGCATAATGCTCGAAAATGTAAATTTTAAGTTTCTCATTTACCATAGTTTCTTCGCTTGCATACCTATAAACGAGATACATTAAAACTACGGTAGCAAAGACAGTAAAATAAATAACGAATAAATAATGAAATAAAAGAACAAAAAAACTAACTAATAAAGTGAAAAACAAAAAAAACAAAAAAAGATGACGTAAGAATTAAAAGAAAATAAAAAGAACGTAACATTTATCGATGTAGCTACGAACGTATGTGGGCCCCGTTCTTATATATTCTTACTAAATATTACGATAACACACACCCACACACACACATGCATATTCTGCTATTATTTTTCATAGCTAAAGGATAAAACGATGAGATAAGGGAATGTGACTCTATCGTTAAAAAAAAAAATACAAACTGCGTACAGAGGGTACGTTGTAATGTACATTATAATCGTATTGTTACAATTTATAGTCGTGGAAACGTTTTTTCTTCGTTTTCGTTTTCAGTGTCTCTCTCTCTTCTTTTCTTAGTTTTTTTGAAATTACGTTGAAAAAAGACACAAGTGTCATTGTCCGGAGAAGATGAATTCGTTTGCTGGTCGATGAACGAGACACGTAGTGCGAACGATGGAGATTGTGCTCTTTAGAAACGATAGAATATTGTACGCGCGATGTACGACGTTGTTAGCGATCATGCTATTAGTTTAATCTCTACATGGGTCGGTAGGTTGTCGTGTTGTTGCATGAAACAATCCGAGAGGAATACACACACCTGTAAAAACGCTGCGACCTGATTCCCGTGATAAGAAACGTTTCGTCGCCGTTGGTACACCCGATATATCGCAATTAGAACAAACAGGAAATGCGGATGAACGAACAGCTCTGTTAGTTTATTCGATCGTCGATCCAGAAGCTGTGTCGTAACCGGTGCATCGAAGGAACTTCTTTAGAGGCGTAAACAACCGACCCATTTCGGACCCCGCATTTTCCTCTGATGCACAGATAAAAACGCGCGTGCACATACATAGGGACAGACAGACAGACACAGTCACAGTCACAGTCACAGTCACATCGATGTATTCCTGTTGGATTATTCTACCTTGTAACTTACTGTTGTGTAACATGTACCCCCCCATTCGTGTCTAGTGTCGAAAACAGAGCTGATTCTATGCTTTTGCTGGTTCTGGTAAACTGGAATAAAAGAGCTAATTAAACGAACGGGTTGATAAAGATGCGAAAGTTTGAAGAAAGGAAAGAAAGAAAGAAATGAAGACGGTAGCATGCGCGAAAACCGTATCAAATTGTTCATGGTTTAACAAAAATGGAAAGAAAACAGAATCGAAAACGATTTCGTATGTCGTCGAGAACGCCGCTTTAGAGTTTAGAGGATAGAACGAAAAACCGTGTAAGTTCGGAGAAATAGAAAAATTAACATCGATATGAAAACGGAAGAATCAGTGCTGGCGAGAACACGAGACAACCGAGACTTTATTATAAATCTAACAACAACAAAAAGCGTCACATTTAAAGGTACTTTTAAAACAGATACATATTTGGAACGTAGGAGGTAATCATTATATAAATGTAGTGGCAACTCTCTATAATACTACAAACGAAAAGAAACCAATATATTCAATAATTATTCGAAATATTAAATGCAAAATGCACTTCTAATGGATGTTGTAAACAATTTAGAGTATTCAAATTTCATCGACATATTTTTGCGTGTGAATCTGTTGTTTGGAATGCTACCACTCTGCTGACTGAATGACATTTTATTTTCCAATCACACACACAGAAGAATAAGAAAGCATAAAGGGAAACCGTGTGCACCACCGGGAAATGAGATAGGAATCTTTTCCTTGTTTTGTCTCGAACGAGCAGAGAAGCTTCTCCAATGACAGATGGTTTAAGTTTGTTTCTTTTAAAAATCTATATATAATATATAAATATATAATATGTATGTATATATATATATATATATATATATATATATATATATTTATATTTATATTTATATTTATATTTATTTACCTTTGTTCTTTCACGTATGAAGAAAGAAAAACAAAAGAAACGCGATTAGACGCATAGATGCAAGGTAACGCGCAGTGAAGGTTTCAAAGATCATCTGTTAAACGGAAAAACGCTTTGCAGTACACTGCATAATTTGAAGTAAAGGAAACAAACTTTCAGTGAAATTTTGTAAGAAAGCTGTTCGTGTGAGAGGTTCTCGGAGAAGGTTGGCTGATATTTTCAGAAGTTAACAATGATTTATTGAAACGTGTTGTCATGTCTTGAATACGATTAAAAGAACTACATAAAAAACAGATAAACATGATCTTNACAAAAATGGAAAGAAAACAGAATCGAAAACGATTTCGTATGTCGTCGAGAACGCCGCTTTAGAGTTTAGAGGATAGAACGAAAAACCGTGTAAGTTCGGAGAAATAGAAAAATTAACATCGATATGAAAACGGAAGAATCAGTGCTGGCGAGAACACGAGACAACCGAGACTTTATTATAAATCTAACAACAACAAAAAGCGTCACATTTAAAGGTACTTTTAAAACAGATACATATTTGGAACGTAGGAGGTAATCATTATATAAATGTAGTGGCAACTCTCTATAATACTACAAACGAAAAGAAACCAATATATTCAATAATTATTCGAAATATTAAATGCAAAATGCACTTCTAATGGATGTTGTAAACAATTTAGAGTATTCAAATTTCATCGACATATTTTTGCGTGTGAATCTGTTGTTTGGAATGCTACCACTCTGCTGACTGAATGACATTTTATTTTCCAATCACACACACAGAAGAATAAGAAAGCATAAAGGGAAACCGTGTGCACCACCGGGAAATGAGATAGGAATCTTTTCCTTGTTTTGTCTCGAACGAGCAGAGAAGCTTCTCCAATGACAGATGGTTTAAGTTTGTTTCTTTTAAAAATCTATATATAATATATAAATATATAATATGTATGTATATATATATATATATATATATATATATATATATATTTATATTTATATTTATATTTATATTTATTTACCTTTGTTCTTTCACGTATGAAGAAAGAAAAACAAAAGAAACGCGATTAGACGCATAGATGCAAGGTAACGCGCAGTGAAGGTTTCAAAGATCATCTGTTAAACGGAAAAACGCTTTGCAGTACACTGCATAATTTGAAGTAAAGGAAACAAACTTTCAGTGAAATTTTGTAAGAAAGCTGTTCGTGTGAGAGGTTCTCGGAGAAGGTTGGCTGATATTTTCAGAAGTTAACAATGATTTATTGAAACGTGTTGTCATGTCTTGAATACGATTAAAAGAACTACATAAAAAACAGATAAACATGATCTTGCTCCTGTTTCATCATCATGGTTTCGTCTCTTTAACATTCTACATTCTCCAACCATCTTTCCCTAGAAGCTTAACTGTATACAATTGCATCGACATGCAACAGTTCGCAATACCCTCGCGCTCTTACTATGAACAAATTCGATAAACATGTCTCTTTGTATACACGTATATTAAATTCAGTGGTGCTTCGTATCACGAGACACCATACCGTATAGGGTAACTGTACAGTCGGCTTTTATATTCCTGTATGTCGGTAATGTAATTCATTGGACACGTGTCATTCTCACACTCCGGTCGGAGAATATAACTGAGCGGGTACTTTACGTTTTCGGTTTTTTCCATCTCTGAATCGGCTGGAAAAGAAGCGCGTTGGTTTAAATTTGAATTTTGGATGTAAGCTTTACTAAAAAGACAAAAAAGACAAAACGAAAACAAAAACTATCTCGGCTTACCGTTTTCTTTTCTGTCACGCGAGCGAACAATCCCGTTGCTTTCCTTTTCGGTCTTCGAGGTTCCAACCACGTGAACGCTCAGCTTTCTAAAATTACTGCCATCGATCGTATGGCAATTGATCCATTCTCTGAGTTGTTTGATTTCGATGTCCTCTATCGCGACTATCTGTCTTTCGATTCTATCGAACATGTAGTCGCCCGTCGCGATCTCTGACCAATTTCTGTTAACTTCTTCCTCTAAGCTAATGTCGGCGCACTGCTTCTGCTTGGTGAATGCTTCTTTCACGGTATCGAACTCGTTCGGTGTCATCGTGTCCAGAATCTTTTTGAAGGCTTTTAAAAAAGCCTCGATCCTGCCGTCCACGTATTCCGTAGAGTACTTATCCGCTTGGGAACAGACCGTAATGGAATAGCTGAGAATGCCGAAAGTATCCGTGTCGAGACAGAAGATGCCGTAGCCGAGTTGTTCTTCGGTTCTCAGCCGATGAAACAGCGGTTCCTCCATGATCGTCTGATCGGAAACGCGAAAGCAAATTAGTGTTCGCAAAATCAGAATCTTTAAGCGCCGATAGATCATCTGGACTTACAATCAGAAGTTCAATTATCACTGATAATTGCGTGGATGTTACACCAGACTGATAATAATTTGTCACGACAGAGTTCACATCGGTCTTATTAAAGTTCCTTACTATACAATAGTGAGAGCCCACGGGTATTTGGGTGACCCTGATCTGTGGCATAGTGTTGGGCAGTAAAGGTCCGCATTTCAGTATTCCAACGAAATTGTTCACATTCTTGACAACCTCGTCCTTGCTCATGTTTCCCTGCACCAGGCTTTGGATGTAAATGTGGTCGGTCAAGTGCTCGGCGAAATGTTTGAACTCTTGAAACTCGACGTCGCTGATAGCCATATGTCTGGTATTCATTGACCAATGAACCAGCAGCAAAATAGACAGCCTCACGTCGCTGAAATATAAATCATAAAAGTACAGCCATATATAGCAGGATCCTAGGCAGCTTTTACGTATTAGAAAACACATGATTTATCGCATACTCCACTAGCTCGTTCGGCCGCAAGAATTTATTGTAATAGCCTTTAATTACTTCTTTCTTCATAACGTTGAATAATTCTTCCGTTATCAGCGTTGAATATTCGGCAATATACCTTGCAATGGTGAATAACACTAACTGAAAACCGGACAGTTTACAAGAAGAAAAATACACGACTGTACGCAAACTACGTAGCAAACCGTATTTCCCTCGTACTACTCACCGGCACTTTTTGATTGAATCCACTCACTTTCAAAACGATTCCTTTGTCTCTCGTGTAGATTTCATAATTTAAGTTTACGCCAATCGCGGGATACAGTTGTTCTGTCATTAATTGTCCCAATATCGAAACAAACAAGTCCATCATGGCAGCGCTGTAAATTGAAAACCGTAATTCTGAACAAACGAAGAATGTTGTTCGAACGACATTTACAGTTGTAAAAGCTCACCTCTTGGGCGAGTATGTTCCTACGGGTGATATAATGTAAAAATTCATGTAGCATTCGGGCAATCGAAATCTAGGATCGGGTCGGTACCAGATTTCGCTCACTTGATCCGTATAGATTTTTGTGGGGTATTTGGGAACCTCTGCTGGCAGGGGTACGAGACTGAAATCGTCGATAAGGAAAATATTTGGCAATGCTAAATGAAACTCGGGGAATGGGTCTATGGTGCGCCAACACTCTATCCATTCTTCCGGTATCTCTGTATCGGTGTATTTGGTTTTGAACCACGGCTCGATTTTCTCAAATTCTTCGTCGTTGAATTTCTTATCAAAAATTATTATGTTCACGTCGTCCGGAGTCAAATAATTCATGCACGCTTGTATAGCTTCGGGTTTGTATTCAAAATACAAATTGTTACCGGTTATATAGTCTCGAGGCGGATAATAATGCATGTTCTCGCATAAATCTACCACATTAACGGCTGGTGGTTCTTCGTCTTCGTATCTAAAAGCAATATTAAGTATCTGACTTGGCACTTCGAGCAGATGCCGATCTATCCTTGGCAGTTATTCACCTGAAACTCATTTCCCTTATCTTATGCATCTCGTCGTACATTCGTTTTTGAGGTCCTTCCCTACGCACCATATTAATATAGGAGAATACAGCGTTCAGTACTTCCTGCAGATGCTCGCATCCCTGCTCGGTCAACTTGAGCGACAAACCGAACAACAAATACATAGAACTGTGCTCAAAACCACTTTCCTCCACTTCGCTGCAAATGTTCAGACACCACATCTTTTTCTTTAAGTAACTCATCAGAGAGCCTTTTCCTTTATGTCCGATCACTTGCGACACGTACTCGTGTGGTTTACTTTTGTACATGTCGTGCAACGGTGGCATTACCCACGTTAATTCCACCTGTAGAACATCAAAGCTAGTTGGAAATTAAGTCACCAGGGATTATTTATTATTATTAGAATTAAGATACCGATCGAAAGCAGGATCATCGGTACCTTGCAAACGTCTTTCACAGGCTTAATTTTATAAATTCTTCGAAAACTCGGTGTATCGAAGGAATTTACTCCTTTGAATGCTGTAAAATCGTTCGAGGGTAATCCATTATTCGGTATATTCGAAAAACATTGTTTTACATAATCTTCCAACACGTCCAATGACAGTTTAGCCTGTGAAAATTCACAAGATATTTTATTTCTTCAAAATGGGAGTGAAAATTTAGAAAATCTATTCACTTGCACGACAAGTTTCATTCTATGAGCACTATAGTGGCGTCCCCTGAACTTGTGTAGCTCCTCGTACAACTTCTCATCGTCTACATTGTCGCGCAATGTTATCAGATTGCCCCACATGAATTTTGTTGCCGGATGGCCTGGTTTTGCAAAGCTACAAAACATTTGCTCTGTTCGGCATACGTCGGAAGGTAAGGCCATTTGGAATTCTGTGTAGAATAGATTTCATTTTATTTCACATCATTTTTCCTTGTCACGTGGCTACGTACCGCTTTCTACGGTTTCTCGTTCTCTGTTTATAGCATCCTTTTTCATCAAAGGTTCGATAAAAAATTGAGCAAATCGGTCGAGAGCAGATAAAAGATGCTTCTCTTGTATCGCAAAGTAGAATGTTGTTAATTCGCAATCGGTAGAAGCATTGTCCGAACCTCCCCTTTTCTCGATAAATGCATCAAAATCATTCTCCTATAAAAACATCGAATATTAAAAGATTAATGTAGAAATCAAATGCTTCGAAATCATGTTTGAAATCGGTACCTGAGGATACTTTTTGGATCCCATAAAGACCATATGCTCTAAAAAATGCGCAAGACCAGGAATTTCCGGAGGATCGCTGAAGCTTCCTACACCCACGGATAAGCCACAAGCAGCCTATTAAAGAAATACGCATAGATGCACGCTAAGAATATAAACAATTTACATAATTACATTATACAAACACGAAGTTATGCGATTTGATCAAAAATACCAGTCTCTCTTCTCTCTTCAGCCGTTTTTTATGAGTAGATAAATCCTTTTTATCCGATCCATCGTCTTCCGAATGTTCATCTTCTTCGTCTTCCTCGCAGTTAGTCTCCTCATCTTCTTCATCTTCTTCGTCGTCTTCATCTTCTTCATCTTCTTCATCTTCTTCGCCCTCACTGTCGCTAGGTATTGCATTCACTGATAATTAATTGAATTATTATGGTTGACATTACAAATGTACAAAAGGAGTAAAAACTATCAATTGATATCGAATGATATGTTACCTTTTATGTCACTGCTGCAGTCTTGAGAATCTGGAGTATGCATATCCGAAATCAACAAGGCTATCAAACCATTTTCCAGTTGGATCACCCTAAACAAAATGAAAAAAAATGATGTCTAAATGAATAGAAAAAACAGTTGTTGTATGCTGATTATATCCCACCCATCACCTGTAATCTTTTTTATCATTTTCTGATTTAACAGGTACGTCCAGATAGGTGACTTTAATTGACGACATCGTTGCTACGCCACGTAGAATGTCTTCATTATGATTTTCGATTTCCATAATGTCAGCAAAAACAGTGCTGGCGTCGTTGAGGTTATGTTTGTTGGATATGGTCACGTTATTGGTTGAATTGATAGTGGCCGTAATTGTTTTCAATTTTTTCTTGGGTGGTGTCTGAAGATATCTATTTGGCATTATCGTTAAACTCGATGCTTGTTTAATCCCACATTGAAGTACCTTGAGAAAACGGTACCTTTGCAAATATATTACCATTTGCCACCAAATCGATCAAAATTATATTATGTCTTGCGATTTAGTAGTATGGATATTTCAAATGATTGATACAACCTTTTATCGTATGAATACCCCCATGAAATAATCATGGAAGTTTAACCAGCGAAACGTAAGATTATACGACAATATGATCGTTCTATGTAGGAATCTATGTTGTATATGAAAGAATCCAACGTAATACATATCATATATGTACATACATACACACATCTGTAGTATGATGCTGCTCGTATGCTCGTACCCGAGACCGAGACGTCATCGTTTTCTAAAGCTAACAGAAAATGAAATCGATCATAAATATATAGAAACAAAGAAGGTAAGTAATACATTATTCTTTAAACTTTTTTGCGTATAAGTATCTATAATTATATTCAACAAAACATTATTTTACAAATAAAGAGACCTTATTTTTTCTTTTCTTCTTCAATGTATTTAGCGTCGTATCAAATGCTTTGGTTATTAGCGACGATCCTTTGAGGATAACCAAGGCATCGACAAGATTATATCTATAAGAGTATTGTAATAAGAGAATAAAAGAATTTAGACCATTTGATTGTCACTTCTATAGTGACAATCTGGTGAATCGCAATCACAATCTTTGTGATTTTTAGATTTAGAGATCAGATATACAATTTCGAATGACTTCTCATCGTAAAAATCTTAATGCACACATTTAAAAATATTTAAAAATAGCGCCGTTTTTAAAAGTGGCTTTCTCCAGTGGCGACATCTCGAAATTGACTTTGGGGTCGGTCAGCGCCAATTTGGATAGTGACAAAACGTTTAAACTATTAACAAAAATCAACTGTCGGTAATTTGACAAATAGTTTGAGTGTTTCTCCGCTGCACAGATTGGCGCTATTTGGACGTTCGAAGACAATAGAAAATTCATGCCGGAATATCCAACACTTCTTATGAGGAAATCGTTCCTAAATTACTAAGTAATAAACCATAATTTGCCGGTAGCAACGAAACGTATATACTTATGTACTAGCTCTAAGTCGCAACGCTTGCTCGACTCTGGATCGCAACTTGTTCACCACAGTCGAAGATGAGGACGGAAACTGTTTTGCTCCGATTGGCTGACCATTCGATGTTGATACAAGATCAGACAGGATTAATTGTGGATTGGATACACATAAAATGGTGGGGATAAAAGCGCTTGCATAGAGAGGAAGAGAAACGTGCAGTAGTTTCGTCTGGTACGTACATACCGTATATACATATTAGAAAATCACAATCATGCTAAAAGTTTGTTGAAATCGTTATGGATTTATCAACAACGTGTGTTTCATTGAAAACACAAAAATTCATACAATTGTATATTATAAAATAAGTTGTAATTGCATTAACAATTGTAGAAACCAGTGGTGTATCGACTATCGACATCGTAGAGTTCCATCGTCAACCAAACCAGGCCAGACCAAACACGCTGGTGAACAGTGGAAGGTATTCCTTTGTAATCATTTTGATTAATTTGATTACATTATATTGAAACTTATTCAACGAACACATGTATTTGCGTGTTATATTCGGTTACATGTAGGAATTATAGAAATTAATTGTTGGTCAGGTAACGTTAACGAGCCCTGTATAGCCTAACCTGTTTTCGGTGTTATTGTAGAATCGAAGATGGCAAGGGAACCGGATGAAGGATTAAGGAAAGCGTTCTCTCAGCTTCAAGAGAAAATGATCGACACCACGCAGAAGTTAAAATTAGCGGATATGCAGATAGAAAAATTAAAACGATCGAAACTATTTGCCGATCTCACGCTCAAAGAAATAACCTCTTATCCAGAAAATACCAAGATGTACGAATCCGTGGGTAGAATGTTTCTTCTAGATGATGTGGAGAACATTAAAGCGGGTCTGGATAAACAAATGAAGACAGCAGATGAGAAAATGGAGACCTTGGTGAACAACAAAATCTATTTGCAGCTAAACTTTAAAGAATGTGAAAACAATATTAGAGAAATGATCCATCAGAAACAGAACAAAGATACGTCCGGATAATAATCGGTTTCAGAGTGAAACTCTGTTCTATCGTTATTTATTTCGAAGACACCTCACGATATGTCTGTGCTTTCTTTCATCACCTCGCTAATTGTAATTTCATCGTTGGTTTTATATAATTTGAAATATAAGAAATAAAATAACCCTCTATCGAAACGTGGACATTGATAATGTCCCCCCCCCCCCTATTTAGTCGTATGAATACTATAAACGGTTCAAAATGAAACAAAACAAAAAAAGAAACCGTAGGCCTTTAGTTTCTAATTATTATTCATTTATTCCAGTAGAATTAATACATACAACAAACGATTTTCCGTGGTTTGATTTACTTTATACTTAATCAGTCACTCTTCTCTTTCGCTCTCATTCTTCTCTCTTCACGCTCTCGTTTGAATTTCTTAGCTAGACAATATCTAAAATTACCCTTAAAAACGTATTATGTGCCAACGCAGTAATTTGGCAAAACTGATTAACACGAAAAAGAAATTAAAAAATGCTCTAGTGTTTTCCGGACCCCGGGGTAGAAAAGATGGAACAATTAATATACTTGTTCAAAGACCAGTTAACGTAGTTCCGCGTCGTTAATTACATTTAATCGCACGTAATTCGTAATACTAACATAATGCATGGGGCGTGACACGCGCTTTCGATTTTATTTATCAAAAACTATATACGATACTCGAATGTCTGTGGGTTCGTGTGCATGCTTGTTGCGTGTGTCTATGAATGTATGGATGGATGGATGCGTGTACCGACATACGATGCAAGCAGAATGTAACGACAGTATGTACAAAGATTATGTAAAACCTATTTATTTCGCTGCGTGTGTTCTTTCGTATGATTCGAACAAAAGAATCGTTTCCTGCGATGTCACACAAATATATAGTACATATAGTCTCCATATAATATATCGATTCATACAGGACACGTATATTTGCATTAAGTATCGAACGTATTTTTCTTTTTGTGTGTGTGTGTGTGTGTGTGACTACGATCTTCGTAATTCGTTTAGAAAATTAAAAGAAAACACGGGGAAACAGAGCTTAACCATGTTCTCGCTTATATAAACCCATGCATTACGATAGCCCGTATACAATGTACGAAATGAATATTTTTTTTCGTTTTTTTTTTCTTTCAGATACAATATGCAACGTCAGTCTTAACTAAAATGATTGCCATTGTACTCTGTCGTTGGTTCTCGCTATTTCGTACGAGTATATGATCCCAAAATTAAATTGTCGAATGAAACAAACAGATGATTGCGAATAAATTTACGCAAACGACTGTTTCAATTATCGCATCTTATTATAAACCGCAGCATATTTAAAACTTCCGCGAGTCGTGTTAACTGTTCGTCTCTCTTAAATAAGTTGTTTTTCTTCTCTTATTTAAGTAAAATGGTACTTATTGTTAAGGTTGACGATACACCGGTCAGTGAAGAAATATAAATTATGCTCTCATTGGATCTGAAGAAAATAATTTACGCGTCCTTCTACAGAGACCGCATGTATAAATATAAAAAAGACATGAAACCCTCGATGCTAAACGCCGAATATACATGTAATAAATACAAGAATCAATGTAATTTAGATGTTAAGATATTACGCGCCGATTTGTGGTTGTGTAATACGTGTTTCCTATTACGTTTTCTTTGAAATCTTAGCTCTAATGAAAATTCAGCTAGAAATCGTAATGTACGAAAAATAATACAATATACACGATTTCGTGTCAAAGTAGGCAGCGTACCGTGCTACCTCGAGTTATTCTGATTGAGCCACTGTGTTCATCAACCGATCGCTCTTCAAGCTGCAACAGAAATTGTTCCGTTGATTAACCGGTTCTGACTAAATATCCGATAACGAATTGCAGGTTCTCGTCGCAACGATACCTGTGAATCCTTGCGGTGGTTGTCCTGGCACTGAGTATTGTGGTCGGAAATTGCCGAAATTGGCTGGCCCCGCGAAAGTGGCTGGCAACTGACCGCTAGAGAAACCTGCAGGATATTGTTGTGCCAAGAGAGCTGCTTGTCCAGACTGAGAACTGCTACCGCCTGGCGCAGTTGCAGCCAAACGACTCAATATCGACCTCTCGGACATTTGGAGTCTTTGTGCAACAGGTGGAATGCGAGCCAAAGTAGCTGGTAGACGACTCACGTCCGACTTCATATCGGACAATAGTTCCTCCAATTGATTTAGTACCTGTACGAGAAAAACGGCGTGAAACAAACGACGATCAGTTGTTGCGATTTTTCCGATAGTAGCTTACACAAATTTGTCGTATCTAAATTCACCTTGTGCAACACAGCATTCGCTGGTTTATTACCGGCAAGACTTTCTTTGCTAAGATGTTGATGGGATTCAGCAAGGCACTCGACTTCGGCGAATCTAGCATTCAGACTCATAGCAGGATGATTAGGATCCTGCGTTAGATTCAGGTACGCGGCTCTTCTCAACTGTTCCTCTATCACTAATGCTTGCTCCAACAGCTTGAATCGGCGGGCCAAGAACTTGTTCTTTATTTCTAAGAAGTTCCCCTTGCCTACATCCATCTTGAATGGTTCATTTATTATAGCGAATCTAAGAAAACGAGAGAAAAGAGGCGTTAAAGAAGAGAGAACACAAGCGTTAGAGCTTTATCGTAGAAACTCGTGATACCTGATGTCATTCTGAATATCCTGCCAACGGCCGTAGCCGTGCGTAACAATGCCAGCTAGAAGCCAGTAGTCGTGTCTCCGATGCCATATCTCGTATTCGCGACCAGGTACCGCAGCCTTCTCTTCGTTCAACCATAACGTGTGCAGCTCCGTGAACCCGCCGTCAGCGATATTAAACATAAATTTCCGTTTGGGTTTCAAAACCTCCGAGTCACAGTCCTTCGCGTCTTTCTCCTTATTGTCTCTGTCCTCTCGCTTCTCGGTCTCTTCCTCGTCGTCTTTGACGATCACTACATCCTCCTCGGTGTCCTGTTGTTTCGGTTTGTTCTCGTTACTTTCGGATTTCTCTTCTTTCGTCGAAGATTTCTCGTCCTTGGTCTCCGTTTTGTCTTTTTCTTTGTCCGAAGTTTCTGTATCCGTGTCCTTGTCCTCTTTCTTCACGTCTTCCTTGTCTTTGTCCTTCTCGGTGCTGCTCTCGTCATCCTCCTTGGAATCTTTCGACTCTTCCTTCGGATCTTTCGCCTCCGAAGAACTCTAAAGCACAATATTCTTGATAATTCTTCTATTCTTAGTTCGAAATATAATTTTTTGAGGATACAACGCGAACGACGCTAACCTCCTTATCCTTTTGTTCTTCCTTGATTTCCTTGGATTCGACCACATCGGTATTTGCTTTACCAGCATCTGCCGCGGTTACGGGAGCAGACATCGGGGTAGGAGTTGCGGCAGGACTTGGACTAGGGGCGTTCGAAGTGACAGGTGTGGCGCTGGTACTACTGGTCCCGGTTGCCGCATCACCACCAGCTTCTATTTTCACCGGTTCGACCGGCTTCCGAATCATCTCGGGCATCGAATAGTATCCATTGATGTGCTCGAACTCTTGAACCTGAAAAATCGATGGTTTCAGCAAAAGAAAAAGAACTTCGTTATCGGCATGACGCGCCATTCTATAAAGAACCGTACCTTCTTCCTGATCAACGACATCACGCCGATTCTCGTCAAGACGTGCTGCCTACTGAGTCCTTCTCTCGGCACACCGTCCGCGAATGTCTCAGCATTATCGGCGCCAGGCTCGCAGAGATGCCGCATGAACAACGACACGTAAGCTTTGAAATTTTTCTCTGATTTACCGCGCAAATCTCGTACCAGCCTAAAATGCGACAATATACTTTAACAGTATTTTAAATTAACTGGCTGAGTGTCGTATTCTGAGCGGGTGACTAACCACTGAGAGTTGAACGCATCCTGGGGCGGCATGCCGTAACGCATGATCGCGTTCAGAAATGCTTTCCTTTGTCTGGCGTTGAAGCCTAACACCTAACAGGCACGAGTGTGGCGTTAGCAATTTTCTAGTTTACGAGGACTGTTCGAAAGGAGAGAGAGAGAGAGAGAGAGCGAGAGAGAGAGAGAGAGAGAGANCACGTCCGACTTCATATCGGACAATAGTTCCTCCAATTGATTTAGTACCTGTACGAGAAAAACGGCGTGAAACAAACGACGATCAGTTGTTGCGATTTTTCCGATAGTAGCTTACACAAATTTGTCGTATCTAAATTCACCTTGTGCAACACAGCATTCGCTGGTTTATTACCGGCAAGACTTTCTTTGCTAAGATGTTGATGGGATTCAGCAAGGCACTCGACTTCGGCGAATCTAGCATTCAGACTCATAGCAGGATGATTAGGATCCTGCGTTAGATTCAGGTACGCGGCTCTTCTCAACTGTTCCTCTATCACTAATGCTTGCTCCAACAGCTTGAATCGGCGGGCCAAGAACTTGTTCTTTATTTCTAAGAAGTTCCCCTTGCCTACATCCATCTTGAATGGTTCATTTATTATAGCGAATCTAAGAAAACGAGAGAAAAGAGGCGTTAAAGAAGAGAGAACACAAGCGTTAGAGCTTTATCGTAGAAACTCGTGATACCTGATGTCATTCTGAATATCCTGCCAACGGCCGTAGCCGTGCGTAACAATGCCAGCTAGAAGCCAGTAGTCGTGTCTCCGATGCCATATCTCGTATTCGCGACCAGGTACCGCAGCCTTCTCTTCGTTCAACCATAACGTGTGCAGCTCCGTGAACCCGCCGTCAGCGATATTAAACATAAATTTCCGTTTGGGTTTCAAAACCTCCGAGTCACAGTCCTTCGCGTCTTTCTCCTTATTGTCTCTGTCCTCTCGCTTCTCGGTCTCTTCCTCGTCGTCTTTGACGATCACTACATCCTCCTCGGTGTCCTGTTGTTTCGGTTTGTTCTCGTTACTTTCGGATTTCTCTTCTTTCGTCGAAGATTTCTCGTCCTTGGTCTCCGTTTTGTCTTTTTCTTTGTCCGAAGTTTCTGTATCCGTGTCCTTGTCCTCTTTCTTCACGTCTTCCTTGTCTTTGTCCTTCTCGGTGCTGCTCTCGTCATCCTCCTTGGAATCTTTCGACTCTTCCTTCGGATCTTTCGCCTCCGAAGAACTCTAAAGCACAATATTCTTGATAATTCTTCTATTCTTAGTTCGAAATATAATTTTTTGAGGATACAACGCGAACGACGCTAACCTCCTTATCCTTTTGTTCTTCCTTGATTTCCTTGGATTCGACCACATCGGTATTTGCTTTACCAGCATCTGCCGCGGTTACGGGAGCAGACATCGGGGTAGGAGTTGCGGCAGGACTTGGACTAGGGGCGTTCGAAGTGACAGGTGTGGCGCTGGTACTACTGGTCCCGGTTGCCGCATCACCACCAGCTTCTATTTTCACCGGTTCGACCGGCTTCCGAATCATCTCGGGCATCGAATAGTATCCATTGATGTGCTCGAACTCTTGAACCTGAAAAATCGATGGTTTCAGCAAAAGAAAAAGAACTTCGTTATCGGCATGACGCGCCATTCTATAAAGAACCGTACCTTCTTCCTGATCAACGACATCACGCCGATTCTCGTCAAGACGTGCTGCCTACTGAGTCCTTCTCTCGGCACACCGTCCGCGAATGTCTCAGCATTATCGGCGCCAGGCTCGCAGAGATGCCGCATGAACAACGACACGTAAGCTTTGAAATTTTTCTCTGATTTACCGCGCAAATCTCGTACCAGCCTAAAATGCGACAATATACTTTAACAGTATTTTAAATTAACTGGCTGAGTGTCGTATTCTGAGCGGGTGACTAACCACTGAGAGTTGAACGCATCCTGGGGCGGCATGCCGTAACGCATGATCGCGTTCAGAAATGCTTTCCTTTGTCTGGCGTTGAAGCCTAACACCTAACAGGCACGAGTGTGGCGTTAGCAATTTTCTAGTTTACGAGGACTGTTCGAAAGGAGAGAGAGAGAGAGAGAGAGAGAGAGAGAGAGAGAGAGAGAGAGAGAGAGAGAGAGAGAGAGAGAGAGAGAGAGCAATTAAATGAATATACTTCGATGTTTCCGTTGACTCTGGCGAGTAACGGCGGTAGAGGTCTATCCTTTTCGTCTCTCCTCTCCAGTCTTCGTCTGCTCCTGCGGGACAATAAATCTCCGTCACCCTTCTCATCGAAGTCGTCGTCCTCTTTGTCATCGTCGCTCGGCGCGCTAAAGTCGCTGTTGTAATCGGACAGATTCTCCTGCCAAGGTTGATCGTCTCTCGTCCCTTGTTCCCCAGTTACCACTCCATCGTTGTAGTTCACCTGTTTACGTACTCGTTTACCTGCAACGAATGGACGTTTTAATAACCACTTCAAGACGATAGGTAGACGATAGACGATACACGATAGACGTATCGTATCGATCGATGATACAACATTGTTCGGACATGCTCTCACCTTTTCCAAGGGTTCTGGCAATATCTTCTTGCTGCTGTTCGTAATGATGTCGCAACAACTTGATCCAATAAGCAGGATCCGTGTTCTCGGCTTCCTGTTTAATGATCTCCGTGTCCGCCTCCTCTTCCGTTTCACCTTCCTTGGTCACATACGATGCCACTTTGAAGGAACTCAGATATTCGTTGGCCCAGTTCTCCTTCTGTTCGATACCTTCCTTGCTTCTATCCAACAGCTCGGCCACAGCCTTGTCGTCGTAGTGAATCGCTTCGTCCTCTTTACCTTCTTCCTCTTTGAACAGCTCCTCCGTGCCGAATCGCAAAATATCGTCCAGCTCTTGTTTGCTGAAATTCGCGCCCTTCCCACCCATTCCAGGTCTAACGACCAAATGCGTCAACATCATTTTCCGTTTGGCTACTTGGGTGACCCGTTCTTCCACAGAATTCCGAGTGACGAATCGATAGATCATCACCTTGTTGGCTTGGCCGATCCTGTGAGCTCTGCTGAACGCCTGAATATCGTTGTGCGGATTCCAATCGGAATCGTATATGATCACGGTATCGGCTGTGGCTAAGTTGATACCCAGACCACCCGCGCGGGTGGAAAGTAAGAAAACGAACTGCTGAGCACCGGGAGCATTGAATCTGTCTATCGCCTCTTGTCGCTGGGCACCGGTGATGTTGCCGTCGATTCTCTCGTACTTGTAACCTTCTCCTTCGAGATAATCCTCCAGAATATCCAACATTTTCGTCATCTGCGAGAAGATTAGTACTCTGTGGCCGTCGTCCCTGAGCTTCTTCAACATTTTGCTGAGCAATACTAGCTTGCCCGCAGCTTTGATCAACGCGGACGTTTCGTAGCTACCGTTTGGCGCAGTTGGCGCCTCTTGAGACGCCGATGGGAACAGGTACGGATGATTGCAACATTTCTTCAAGTCCATCATGATGTTCAGCAACGATACTTGTTGCCCTCCTCCCTTGGGATTCAACGCCTCGAAGTTCTTCGTTAAAATGTATTTGTAATACTTCTTCTGCATCGGCGACAGCTCCACGCGGACGATAAACTCCGACTTGCTCGGCATGTTTTTCAGCACATCGGCCTTCAATCTCCTCAACATGTGAGGGCCGAGCAACTCGTGCAACTTTTTCACCTGCTCTTCCTTCGAAATGTCCGCGAATTCATTCTGAAACGCGGCCAGATCGTTGAATTTGTCGCGACACAGAAAGTTCAGCAAATGGAACAACTCTTCCAAGTTGTTCTGCAACGGGGTACCGGTCAATAGCAACTTATAAGCGATGTTGTAGGACGCCAGGAGTCTGAAGAACTTAGACTGATTCGATTTCAATCTGTGCGCTTCGTCTACTACGAGCACTGCCCAATCTATGGATCCCAAGCATGCCGAATCGATCGAAATTAGTTCGTAACTGGTGAGCAATACGTTAAACTTGATCTGGGAAGACCGGATTTTCGAAGCTCTACCACCGCGTACAGCACCCTCTTCGAAGGACAATTCGTTCTCTCGGATCACTATACGGCTATCCTTGTCACCTGCAACCACGGAATTCACAGTTAGTAATTGTACAATCGAAAGATTCGTGTTGTACATCAGCTGCGTTCACCAACCAACGTATGTAACGCAATAGAAATCGGGCGCCCAAGTTTCAAATTCACGCTCCCAATTGATGATTGTTGAGAGAGGAACGGAAACCAAGAACGGTCCTTTGCAATGGCCCTCTTTGTACAGCGAGTATAGAAAAGTAATGGTTTGGATGGTTTTCCCGAGACCCATCTCGTCTGCCAATATAGTATCTATACCTTGACCCCATGAATATCTCAACCAATTCAGACCCTATATGAGAAACATCGATGAAATTAGTACTCGGATCGGTACATATTGTGGAAGCACATCGACGAACACGCTTGCCTCTAATTGGTAAGGATGCAACTGCATTCCTGTCTGATCCAAATATTCCGGCTGTCTTTCGTACTTCTTTTTCAGATCGGTGGTGGGCTTCTCGGGCGGTGGAGTGTATCGTTTCGGTGTTCTTTCCTCGTCGTCGATGAGCTCGCGAGTCTTCGATTTTTTACCTTTACCTGGTGAATATAAAATAACGTCGTAGACGGTTACTTTCACAACCTACGACGATCGCGGTCGAGAAAAGAAAGAAAAATAAATGAACCGACTCTCCTCACCCTTCTTGCCCTTGCGGGAGGAACTACCGTCGCAACAGTTTGCTGCCCTGAGATCCAAGTAATACTCGATCGCCTGTTTCAAGCCCGGGATATCTTCGTGTTCGTCCTCCCAAGTAGCCTGATCGTACCCCAACTCTCTCCACTTAACGAGATAAGTCGCCCGGCCGTCTCTCGAGAGACGATGATTAATTACTCGATGCACTACAAGCCACTCGGGTCGAACTCCGTAACGATAGAATCGTTCTTCTAAATTATACTCGTCTCGATTCGTAGCGCCGTCCTGCTCTTTCAATCGTTTCACACGAGAATCGCTTTCGTCCAACGGCTCCTCCAGCTTCGGCGGTTCGTCCATGTCGTACTTTCGCGAATAATTTCTGAACATGAGCGGGTGGAAAACGTCCAGTTGCAACTCTGTGATCCAGTCGCAGTGCCAATACGACATGTCCGCCCATTTTACAAAGAATTCCCGTATTTTCCGTTGCTTCGGGGCAGCTTTGCTCGTGGAAGGTTCTTCCGACGGCGTTTCCGAACATTCTTTCCATCTCCATGTCAAAATTTTCGCTACTTTTCCACGTAGAGGCGGACAAGAACATCTGGGACACTTCCAGTCGCCGTCGGGGATTTCGGAAAGTGGCGGATTCAGACAATGCGTATGGTAGGCACTGGTGCAACTGTCGCAGCATAACAGTTCACCGCCGTCTTTACATATTCTACAAAACTCCATGTGTTCGTCGTCGTCTTCTGCCGCGCCTGTAAAACAGTCACATATGAAAACTTATTATCGGTCACATTTGATCGCTCGTTATTTCATGTTACTCGAACACGTGGGGAAGGATGCGGGGAGAAGGACTCTTAGGGAGGTACCTGCAATACCTTCTCCTTCGCAATGAGGACAACTCCATTTTCCTTCAGGAGTCTCTTCCAATTCGGGTTCCAAACACACTAGATGGTACGCTCTGGGACACGTGTCGCACAATATAATTTCGCCACCTTGCTGACAGACTTCGCAATAGTCCTGATGGTCGGTCTGCAAAATAAATAATTAAGGTAACGAAGAAACGAAGGGGACCGCGATACGAGCTCCTAACAAATAAAGATTAAGATCGATAATACCTGGAGACCCTCTTCCCCATCCGGAAACTTGGACGTGGTTTTCGTCTTTTTCTTTTTCTTTGTTTTGTTTCCAATTTTAGTTTTTGCCTTCCTGCGAACGGGCGGTTCTGCCGGGGGTTCGACACCGCTCTCTTCGGCATTCCCTTTAGTGGTACCGTCCGCGCCAGAAGGTTCCTCAGCGTCTGCCAGCATTTGTTCGAACTCCATATCGGAATCTCTGTCGGTCCCAGCTCCACTCCCTTCTGCTTCCTCGTCCTAAACAACACAACGAAAACACGTACCGATCCGTAACAGCAACAATTACAATTACAATTGCGAATCAATTTACTATCAACTAAATGTTAATAGCTAATTCTCTTTACCGAGCTCCCTCGTTTGCGCTTCCCAAGTTTAATTTTTAACGTGGGAACTTTCGAAGCTTTCTTTCCCTTCTTGGCTCTGGATCCTCTCGATTTTCGTTTTCTATCGCTGTCTTCGTCATCGTCTTCTTCGTCTTCGCCTTCTTGTACAGCACCACTGCGATTCGACCTCGAATTTCTATTATCTTCGTCCACATTGGCAGACGACACATCGGCGTCGGGTTGTGTGTGGGGATTCAATTCGGAAAAATCTCGCCATTTCGCAGCTACCAACATCATAAGTTTTGACATCGGTACCTACATTATAAAGCAACAAAATATAAACATTGGATAATCTAAAGAGTATGGTTCGATGTCGACGATACGATATTTACTTTTGGATTTTCTTTAGCTAGAAGAGGTCTGACGTGTTGTTGGAATAATTTGTATGTTGTTAAATTCTGGAAGTCTGCGTCGGTATATTCGATCTGTACATCGGTCAATCCGAAAGTGTTACAAACTTCTTCGATAGTAGGCATGCCGGTAGTAGGCTCCTGGCTTGGAGGAGCCGGTGCTGTGTGACTAGATGATTTTCTCGACGAAGATTTTCTACTTTTCCTATTTCCTGCATAGTCACTATCGTCTCCAGCAACATCGCCTGTCTCGCCCCCTCCTCCAAAGTCGCTTTCCTGTAAATTCAATATGAAAAAAGCACAAAATTATATGATCTTAACGCAATTCCTCCGATCCGAGCAAAATTCTAAATAAAATAGTTACATCTCCAGAATCAGATTTTTTCTTTTTCTTCTTTTTCTTTCCCTTCTTGTCTTCGCTACGTGCTTTCCGTTTCTTTCCTTTTTTCTTCTTCCTCTCCTCCGGTTCGTAATCATCGTCTTCTTCCTGCGTCGAAAGATACCGTTATAGGATTGCTTAACTCGCTAAGAATAACATTAAACTTTCACTAACTAATCTCTGTGATTCTTCTGCATCGGACGATCCATCCACTGGCTGACCAACATTTGAAACTTGACCCCCAGTTTCATCTAAATCATCTTCACCTACAAGTAATACACGCAAGAATGAACATCGAATACTTAGTACTGCATAACATAGTGCTTACGATTCGAACATGGAACTAGTATCTTAAACTTTAATCCTATACATTTGATATAGAGCTATAGATATATTGTTGTTACATATTAAAACGCTTCAATTTAGCAACAATTAATATTTAATAATTATTTATAAAAATTTAATAAGTCTCAAAAGCTTCATTTTGTAAAAATTGTTGTTGTACACCAAACAGCGTCGTATTAATAATCGTAAGATCAATAGCATGATTTATAAAACGCGAATTATTTTATTCGTAAGTATTTGAGCAACCTGACAAAAACGGATAGTCTTAGGAGTTTTTAGAGAAAATATTAGAGCATACATAATTGAATGTTCTTAAAGAAGGATATTACTGCTGTAATAAAAAATTAATCCAAAATATAAATTATTTCGGACTAATTCGCTAGTCAGTGAATGCTTTATGCGAATGTGCGTCCGCCATTTTCTTCGAAAGGGCTCACACCACATTGGTTGCCTATAATTTATGTTCGACACTATAGCGGAACTTAAAACTGATAAATATTACTATTTCGCCATAAGAATAAAACCTAGGAAAAGAAGTGATTCTCTTCGATCATATAATACCTTTGAAATTTTTAAAAAGTTTCAGATCAAGAAAACTCTCTCTCTCTCTCTCTCTCTCTCTCTCTCTCTCTCTCTCTCTCTCTCTTTCTCTCTCTCTTTCTGTTTCTGTTTCCACGCTTGCTCGTATGATGTACGTATATGTATATATAAGCGCACCTGTATAGGAAAACAGATTGGGTGCGGAAGTGTGTAGTAAACGCGCGCGCGCGCGTGTGTGTGTGATGCATAAACGACGACGAATCGTACTCCAGTCCATCGAATGATTGAAAAACTAACGTGTTAGTTCGCGAGATAACTTTTATATTTTGTTCGATCGAAAGATGGATGCATTTCGATATCGAACAGAATCTTTGCGAACATCGATAGTAACTTTTGCGAACGAAACAACCAATACAGATTACGATCATACCAGACACGCGCCGAGCGTTCAAAGGGTGCGTGCCTCCCAATTTTTCACTAATACATGCCGAATGAGAATACAAAAGATTTGCTTCCCGTAAAACTACAAAGTTACTTGTACGATTCATGGTCATTCGTACATTATTCGTTTCCACACGAATCGTGCATGAAGCATTTCGAAAAGGATGCGAAGCGTTTCAGGGAGATAGACGAAAAGTTTTAACGAACAATAGGAGTACGACATCACGGAATTAGGATGAATAATTTCTATAGAAATACGTCGTAACGTTAACAGCGTTTCGGGATCGCCGGGATATGAAAAACTATACGATTTCCATGCAACCGTTGGATGTAAACAATAACCTATAACCACCGATGATTCCATCGCGTTTACACGAGGTAGGAACGCGTTGCGATCGTTCGAGAATTAAGGACCGAAAATGATTTGACAATTGGAGGATTAGTTGGATTTTCATTGTTACGAGATTCGAAGTTCGGTGTAACGGCATCGAACGATACTTGGAATATTGGCTGCGGCTAGACAGGGACGGTCTGATCGTGGCTTTACGGAAATAGCGGGTAAAATATGAAAAGAAAAGGATGATAGGTAAATGTAAGAGAAACGATAAGTACAGGAGGACCGATTGACATGGCAGCCATCGTATGAAAAGCGCGCGTCCTGCGTGCAGCGAGGACGAGGACACATAACTTTCCGGCAGTGGGTAGTATTCATGACCGAGTGTGGCCGTGCACTTACCCGCGTAACTCTCGTCCACCTCCTCGTCGGACGCCATGCTCTAAAGCCACGGATTGATGGAAATTATTGTTTCCGAAACACCGGCCAAGAGTAACGTTTCTTACGTGAAAGAAAGATACCTTGTAAACGAAAATGACATTAAACGAAGCTCGGTTTCGACACCGATGGTCACACGACGCTTTCTTTCCCGTCGTTTCTTTCGATTTTCGGCGTGCGGTCGCGTTTCGTCTATCGCGTACGTGCACCGATGTGCACCTACTGCCGTAACGTTTCTTCTCTCGCGCTATTCGTCGGTTCTCCTCGTTCTTTCCCCCACTATTTTCCAATTTCAATTCCCCTCTCTGTCCGTGTGAGAGAGTTCGTTTCTTCTTCTCTCTTCCCCCCGTTTCATAGTATGTACGTATACATCCATGTCCTCCACACTCACTGTTACGTTACAACATGTTCTGTAACTGAATCGCTGACAATGAGTGTACACGAATGGATCTACCGTGTTACCGTGTTGCATTTAGTACATATGTATTTCTTTTTCTAAAGCCCCCACCGATGCCATGTTCACTGCTGCTGCATCTTCGAAAACTATGTTTTAGTTTTTTCAAAAACATTCGCACCCCTCCCCCCTTCTCTCTCACTCTCTCTCTCTCTCTCTCTCTCTCTCTCTCTCTCACACCCCTTCGTTCTCATACCTTTATTTCTTCTCTCCTCGGATGATTCCTCTTTCTCTCTCTCTCTCTCTCTCTCTCTCTCTCTCTTCCTTCTTTTGTCAATCCTAATGAACTTCCGAATCATGGTGTTACTCGTTGTATCCTTTTTTATTTAATTCCTTTCTTTGCCCCACCTTTTTCCTTTTCCTATAATTGGTTTATGCCAATCATTAATGCGACTGTTAGTTTGAGACCGTATGACTTTAAGTAAAGAAATAAAGGAATAAAGTTTTTGTAAAGAGAACTCGTCGCACAAAAGTATTGAGAATCCCTTATATACATATGCAATTTATTTCTTATAATTTTCAAATCATTGTCAAATTACTGTAACATTATTAAAGACAGAAGTTGCCGAACTGTTTTTACATGCGTATAGTTCTGCTAAACAAGTTCTAGTCATTTCATAGCAAAAATAGTACATAATTCCCATCGGGATATGAACGATTTACATACATATGTATATATTACATTCGGAATATTCCTCCATTTTAGTTTGATGTAAATTGTGAGAGTTGCAGTTTGCCGCAGTGTGCGTGTACGGATTTGCGATGTAATTAATAGCTGACCGCCTCTTATACGCACATATATGTATGTTTTATATGTACGTTTCAATGAGCTCGTGTATCAACCGTCAGCCTTTTTGATAAAGGCAAGATAACTGAACGCAATCAATGTGCATCACTTTTTTAAAGAATGCACCGCTTATATTTAATGTAAGGAATAACCGTAATATGCAAGTTATTGATTTTTCGCGTTCGACATCCTCGAGTTGTCGATACATACCAGTATTAGTAAAGCAATACGAGTTCGATGATGAATAAAAAATTATTCGACTTATTCGATTAACTATTACTCCTCATTGTCCATATTTGATTAAAACATAATTTGCATGTGCGATACGTTTTAGCGTGTATCTCAACGGAGGATAATACAATTGATAACATTTAATAACATTTAATCGATGGTTGCCTGATTTCGTTGAATTTCACTTTGTATTATGAAGCCTGGAAAAACATAGGAAAGATTCTCAAAAAACGTTACGATATCATCGTTTTTTCTTCTTTATTTCTAATTACCAGAAATTACGAATTATCGAGAATGTAATACATGTCTTGTACAGAGATACATATCTTCGTATAACATGAATGGAAATTTATTTATACGATTTATACGTAACAATCTATTTACAAATATGAGATACACATATTAATAAGGATCTTGCATACAAAATGGAAAAGTAACCCTATAGTATTCTTACGTACAACGACTTTTCTTCGTTTTAAAAGAGCGATATACATTCGTGGTACTGATTCTAAAAAGTAGACACGTTTGATGCATTACACAAAAGTTATAATATACAGACAGATGTAATACATCTTCAGGAATGGATGAAAGCGATAGAATACCACACGGAACGAAGCATGACCACTAAACGATACGTAACAAGATAACTAATCGATTCACTGATTTATATATTATTTAATTATACAGTGGTTAGCATCAACTAAAGACTGCAGTTTCTTTGTAATCGCATTTATAATACGTCTCTTAGTAAACTAAATATAATGAACATTATTTCTCTATCTATAATCAAAAATTATAATTTTTGATTTCATAGATTTTAGTCAACAAAATTTTGTACTACATCCATTTTTTATTACATATCAATGAAATCTAGCACTGCAATAGATATTTAACCGTGTTACACTTTTACATATAATTATATTTATTTGTATTCGATAGATAAAGAAATAGATAGTCATCAGAATTTTTCTTTCCTTAGCAAACTGCAATTCCATGATTAGAATTATTTGAATGACTTCTGATGAATATCATCTAGGAAATTGGTAGGACAAATCGAAATGGATTTGCAAAGATAAAAAATTATATGCGTTATACTTCTTTTCGACTATTGCTAAGCGCGATAAGTCCCTTTTTCTTGATAGCTTCTGCCACAGCTCTTTCTAAAAAGTTTTCTTGTTGGTCGTTATCGTCTACTTTGTCTAAATCCCAGTCGTTGTAGTCTTCCATGTTGCTCGAATTATTTAGCCTCATCGAGTCTGTGGATGTAGCGGCGATAGAGTTTCCAAAATTCCCAAAATTTCCGCTGTAAAAAGCATTCGATTGAGAGACAAGCTCCACTGATCGAACTAAACCATGACTACGAATCGCCATTAAAACCGCGGTATCTTCCATATCGTTTCCTCTGATCGTTTGAAATCTAGATTCTTGTAGGGGATAAGAAGAGGATGCTCCCATAAGATAATTCTCTAATGATTTGTTGATAATATTATCCAGAAATGCTGCTGTCAATTGACACATCTGCCATTTTATTAATTCTTCCCTGGTATATCTTTCTGCTTCGTCGTATTCGATATTCTCCGAATCTCGTATCGTGTCTTCCTTCACGTCCCAATTTTTTGCCTGAAATTATACTTCAATTAATGAATTATCTGTTAAAGTAACTCTGAGAAAAGAAGCGAAATAGTGAATGTTGTATGCATACATTAACAACAACAATTTCATTAATTGCACTATATTAATCATTTCAATTACGCGACTTAATTACCTCTTCCCAGAGGGTTTCTTTGATTTTAATAAATCCTGTGCACTGTCGTTTCGGTGGAGCGGGTCTTTCATGATCGTCAATATCAGATTCCTCGCTATCCGATAGGTAATTAAGAATTTCGTCGTCAAGATTAATAACGGTTTCGGCTCCCTTCAACATTTCTCTGGGAACATAAACGCCTATTAAAAATTTTAAATTAATTCTTAAATTGTGTTAACATTGGAAATTATGTTTGTTCTTTGTAACTGAACAATCACAAAACAGAAAAACTGAACGGTAATCGACGCCGATTGTCAGAATACGTACAAAGCGTACCGCACACACAATCAAACAGCAAGAATCACTTTTGACAGCTTCAACATGGCTACTTCGCTTTTTGATGTAACACGGAAGAGGAAAATATGTGCATCTTTTAGAAATTTCGTAAGATGTTGAGACACGATACTGAAAAAATCAAAAGACGTTTGAAACTACACAAGAATCGTACCTGTTAAAAATTTCTTTAAATTCAAATGTACCGTTCGGACCGATGTTCCGTCCCAACTGTGGTTGTATGTTGTATACTATATTTCAAAATGGCGTAAACATGTGTTCACAGTGTTCGAGAAAACTGTGACGTCCATTCTGTCAAGCGCGGTTGTTTTTTCAAGTATTTCGAACGAATTCCCTTCGATATATTCGATCATTAGTTTAACTGGCATGGCAGTCTGTGGCGAATACATTCGCAGTCAATTTCCAACGATAGATGATGATTTGTATCAATACGTGGAAGGTGTGTACCGATAAACCTAACCTGAAAATTCTATAGCTTCTTCATGTTGTTCAAGTTCAATACATCGTATATAATCTTTCGTCACGTAAAGGTATCCTAGACAGCTCCAAAGATGATTTCGAGGACGCCGATGAAGTATACGAGGCGATCGGAGAAGTGTTGCACGAAGTCGCGGACAAACCAGAGAATGAGGTTAGGTCTGTAAACGTGTTCACATTTGTCACTTTTTTATGTTTACGACGATTATATCTAGACTGCGGTGATATTTATGCATTTATAGCGAACTAAATTATTTCAGCATATCGAAAAACATATAAAGATTTAGCGAACATTTTATTGTATTTGGAATCTGATCGAATTTTTGTTCGACACTTTCTTTCCGAAAACTACATTTGCATAAAGATCAACGGCCCGGCCGCATCGTACAAATGCTACTGAATTTACCATTGTTAACTTTTAACTGCATTCGATACTCAACTCTGCTCTATCATCGTACGATTTTGATCCTTGCAATCACGAATCCAGAACTTTCTTATATACAGGCAAATATGCGTGAAATTATTGGAAATGTTAAAAGGTGGTTCAAATGATGAAAATGTCGAAAAAAGGAAGAATGGGGTAAACAAAGTATTAAATGCACCCGTTCATTTGGGTACTATGGCTGCCACTTTAGAGGCTCAGGTAGAACAAATTAAAAGTATATGGGTCACCACTAGAGACGATGCCATGGTGAGTTCATTAGTTTGTAATTGTTAAACGAATGATAGCAATACGTCGGTATATTTTGTTATTCTTCAGAAGGTAGATGCAAAAAAGTTGGAAAAGGCAGAAGCAAAATTACAACAGAAACAAGAAAAGCGCGTGAATAACGAGTCGGCTGGACGTGTTAATAACGTATTGCAAGGTATAGAATCGGCGAGTGCCAGTCAGATGACAAGTAAAAAGGATAGTCGTATGGAGACCAAGGGTGGTGTAAATAAAACTCAGGATATAAGGATAGAAAATTTCGATGTAGCGTACGGGGACAGAATCTTATTACAAGGAGCCGATTTAACTCTAGCATTTGGTAGACGTTACGGTCTTATCGGTAGAAATGGTCTTGGCAAAACTACTTTACTGAGAATGATATCTAGGTACCGAACTCTGCATTTCTCTATTGTAGAAAAAGCTCCAACTAAATATAATATCGCACTCTGATTTTACTTGTAGCAAACAGTTGAGAATACCATCTCATATACGAGTGTTACACGTAGAACAGGAAGTTGCCGGCGACGATACATCCGCGCTGAATTCTGTATTACAATGCGATCAGGAACGGAGTACGTTGCTCAGCAAGGAAGCAGAGTTGCAGGTAGCAATAGAAAAAGATGGTGGAAAGACGGGGGACGCGTTAGGTGAAGAATTAGCTAGAGTATACGAAGCAATGCAATTGGCTGAAGTAGATAAAGCCCCTGCTCGAGCGAGCGCTATTTTATCGGGTCTTGGGTTTTCTGTTGAAAGACAAACGTGGCCAACTAAAGCTTTTTCCGGTGGCTGGAGGATGAGACTTGCTCTTGCGAGGGCACTGTTCTCCAGACCAGACCTTTTGTTACTCGACGAGCCCACAAACATGCTTGACATCAAAGCGATTCTTTGGTTGGAAAAGTATCTGCAATCGTGGCCAACTACGTTACTGGTTGTTTCGCATGACCGAAATTTCTTGGACACGGTATTATTAACTTACCAGAGAAATATTATCTTTTACCGAAAGTAGAATCGAATCGAGTGAAATAGTCGACATAACGTTATATTTTACGGTAGGTACCTACCGATATACTGTATTTACGAGGACAGAAAATAGAAGCTTATCGAGGCAATTACGAACAATTCTCGAAGACCAAAGGAGAACGCGAGAGAAATCAGCAAAGAGAATACGAAGCTCAGCAAGCTAAAAGAGCTCACGTGCAAGAGTTCATCGATCGGTTTCGATACAATGCCAATCGTGCTTCTAGTGTACAGAGTAAGATAAAGATGCTGGAGAAATTGTAAGTTGAATATCATTCGATAATACGTGGTCTAGAAAAAGAAATTCTCGATAGAAATGAATTAAGATTATATTACACGTATTGTTGATAGGCCGGAATTGAAGCCAATGGAGAAAGAAGGAGAAGTTACTCTTCGGTTCCCAGACGTTGAACCACTAAGTCCTCCGATATTACAACTCAACGAAGTATCCTTCAGTTATACGGGAGGAAGCGATAACGTGATATTTACCGGTGTAAATCTTACAGCTAGTTTGCAATCTCGTATCTGTATCGTAGGGGAGAATGGCGCAGGTAAAACGACACTTTTGAAAATAATAACAGGTACTTTAAGTCCAAGCAGAGGTACAGTGCACGTCCATCGAAATTTAAAGTTCGGATACTTCAGCCAACACCATGTTGACCAACTCGATATGCGGGTTTGTCCAGTCGAATTACTGCAAAATCATTTTCCAGGTATGAATCAGTTTCGCACAGGAATTAGGCATTGTTAGATACTGTAAATATATCACCTTGTTGCTTTATGTTACAGGGAAACCTGTCGAGGAGTACAGGAGAATGTTGGGAAGTTTTGGAATTAGCGGTAACCTAGCTCTACAAACTATCAATTCTTTGTCCGGTGGGCAGAAGTCGAGAGTTGCGTTCGCGTTAATGTGCGCGGCCATGCCAAATTTCTTAGTTCTCGATGAACCTACGAATCATCTTGATATCGAGTCGATCGAAGCCTTAGGCAAAGCACTGAATACTTGCCAAGTAAAATTTTTCCTCCAATTTCTTTTGACTTTACATGGGAGCATTTACTAAAATAAACAAATGTGATAATGAGACTGTAATCATTTCAGGCCGGTGTAATACTAGTCTCGCACGACGAAAGATTAATTCGCATGGTATGCACTGAATTATGGGTATGCGGAGACGGTTCTGTACAATGCATTGAAGGCGGTTTCGACGAGTACCGTAAGATTATTGAAAGAGAACTCGAAATTTGAATATCGTTTAAGATTTAATCGCTTCATCATTCTTGCATTGTTCCGGGTCAAGTTACCGATATAAATATGTTTGTTGATTTAAATAAATACAAGGAAGGAGGAACGTTCGTTAAAAGATGTTTCTTATTCTGCAGCAGTGCATACTTTATGTTGTTTATCGATGTAGGTATTTATCAACAACCATGAAAACGTTATACTGCGTATGTGTGCATATGCGCGCGCGCGCGCGCGCACACACACACGCACACAGTCAACAATAAAATACTATGAGATAGACTGAGTTTGGGTTCACAACTAGTAGGATTAGGAAAGTATCACATTGTTTCACTGCCAGATACAATAACTACATCTAAAAAGTTCTGATATTTAATATTGTACATTAGTAAATAATAAAAGGTCGTTGTTATAAATAAAAGTATATAATATTCTATGTTTTTCTTATAAAAACCGTTAGAAGTTTACATTGATAAATATACACGATCAATTAGCATATTATTATTGCAATTCTTCATTGCTCTCAGAAATACCATACAACTATTTCACATAGTTTTTATGTGAATGTACACAATTTCAGACACCATTACGATGTTACAATTTAATGCAGTCTTGTACCACAACAATAATATTTACGAGAGAAACTAAAGACTTTTTTCCGGTAAAACAAAAGTTTCGCGACGCGTGTAATTACGATTATAATATAATTATTTTATTTCCGTTTCTTTTCCATCTAATTTTGTCTACTTAGACTTGCATTTCGTTGTAGAAACGTTCCAAATGTTATTAAAACTATCGTGTAATGCAATAAATAAAATAAATTGCTCGAAAATATTTGATGTGCCAGAGAAGTCTCATTTTATATTGCCACAGTTAACCCCCGGATGATGTATTTAATGGTACCATTGTATTAGATATAGAAGATGCTTGTTGGGGTGGTGCAGGAGCCTGCTGTTTTGCAGCTGTAATTTGCAAACATTTTTTACTATCTTCCTTTTACAGAGTAGAAACATTATTGTATACATGTAGTTTCATTTAACAATTGCTATCTCTATGATGATACTCATGCATTAAATATGTAAGCAAGCAATTAATGTCAAAAGGTTTAGAAGTTAGCCTAGTGTCGGTAATCCTTTATGCGATGCGTATTAATCGAAACCGTGTACAAGTGGTTTATTTAGTGTGTAGAATGTGTGAAATATCAGATCGTACATGTTTATTCTGTATACTAAATTTTCATTGCCCGATGCAAATATAGTCTCTGATGTTAGAACTTACAGACAATGTGAAAAGTTATGATCTTCATGCACTACGTTCGGAAATAAATGATTACTGTTGAATCAACATGATCATGCATGGAGTATTAACGGTGACTCACTTGGTGTTAAATCATACAAGATGAGAAATGAGTAAGCTTTGTCTTATATCTTCAGAAATGCACGAGTATACAGGATATATTTATGCAAAATTTACCCTCGGATGACGGACCATTTTAACAACTGATAACAACAATTGACGATAATTCTAATAATCCTCAGCTTTATTCATTAATTTTTCAAAACCTATTTTTAACGACAAGTTTTTCGGTTCCTAGTGTAAGTTACCTTTTGGTAACCGTAGACCGAGGATGAAATGTTACAGAAACAATTCGGAAGTATACCGCCTAATGGTAAAATTTAAGAATGTAGGCGACCGATACTCGATTTTATTATCCTTACCGTTTCTGCTGCTGTAGACTTTTGGTAATCCTTTAAACGGCTCCGGTGGTGGAAAATTTGCAATAGAATGAAACATGTCTGCGAATCGTACTTCCAGATCTAGGGTACCCATAGTTTGACCGTTGCGCATAGAAGAACTTCTTGTGGGAGGTGTCGGTGGTGGTGGCGGTGGTGGAGCAAGCCTCTGATGAACAGCAGGTCGATGTGGAAGTGGAGGAGGAGGTGGCGGTATGCAAGGAGCAGTAACCGTTACTCTAGACGGTGGTGGAGGCGCGACCCTTGTTGCCGCACTAATCGAGTTACTCGTTCTGGAAGTAGGAGGAGAGGGAGGTTTCGCTACCGGAGGTCTAAGAACTCGATTTGTTGGCCTCGATTGACTTTCGTTTAAACAATCTTGCGATTGATGCAAAGATGGCGGTGTCGGTGTGAGCACAGGTGGCGATCTAAGCAACCGCATACTTTGTGCTCTCGACACGCTTGCTCCTGTCGTCAAGTTTAACTTTTTTGGGGGAGGAGATGGCTTGTGCATTGTACCGGATGGTGTCGAAGGTGGCTTGG